GCCAAGGCTGCCCGTCTAGCATTTTGTGCCGCGGTCTACTACACATTGGCATGCGAGGAATAAGTTACGATTTGATGGAGGATCGAAGATGGAAGAAGACGTGATTGCTAAGATCAAGCATGTGATATATAAGATCCTATATAGCTTATACCCGCATGACTTGATCAAAATTTGATGGGTGGATGATTGTCTCCTCTACCGCGGCATCATCTCTTTGGGACTAATGTGTGTGCACCTTGCAACACCATGATTTCTTTTTGGGGCTAAGGGGACTAATCCTCTTGGTCATGCCATTTTCGTATTTTGATGTTCTGTGTGTATGCACCTTGCAGCACCGATTGGTTTTTGAGATTTAAGGGCATTTAGTATGGTATACTTAGGCCCCTTTTTTATTTTGATTAGATCGAACAAAAACCTCTCCTAACTCCTACACTAGGTGGGGGGGGGGGGGGGGGGGGGTTAGGGAGATCTAGAACCTTTTTGATGTATAGTTTCTTTGGGTGTTAATATAAATTTACATTTCATCCAAAAAAAAGACAACGTGTAAAGTATTTTTCTAGACTCTAAATTAATCAAATTTGAGAAAAAGGTCAAATAGGCCCTCGAACTAACTTAAAAAGTGCAAATCACCCCTTATATAGATGTAGGAGGCTCTGTCCGGACATCCCATTTAGGGCGGTTCCTGGTGGAATTTGATGAATTTTTTTGAGCAACTTCTTCATTAAGTTTAGTTTTACTCATACCAAATTTCAGATAAAAATTCAACTGGTATGACAGTCAAATGATTTTCTGAAATGTATTGTGTTGTTTAACTACGCAGTTATCTTGAAAAATTCATTTTTGTCTTCCCGATTGAAGTTTTAGTTGAAATTTGGTATGCGTAAAATAGACTTAATGAAGAAGATTCTCAAAAACATTCATCAAAAAATTCCAACGGGAACCACCCAAATGGCAACGGCCGGAGAGAGCCTCATATATAAGGAATGATTTGCACTTTTTAAGTTAGTTTAAGAGCATATTTGACCCTTTTCCCATCAAATTTCAATTCAATACGACTTGGAATGGTTGTACAAACATAGTGTTGGACAATTTTCAGCATGACTCTTGCACAATGAGAAAAAGGAAATTCCTAAACCATGACTAAAAGAAGGGCAAAGATCTTAAATATGATTACAATTATTTTATTTTTAAAATAACACTGTTTGACTCTTATTTTGAGAAGTTTTAATTAATTTATTCTTTTAATATGACTAATTCCCCATTTAGGAAAAAAAGTATACTCCCTTATATTTTAAAACGTTGTATATTTTTAGATTCTATATTGAGCAATTTCTAAACAAGAAACTCATCACTCGAGCAAAGCTTCAACTAGCGGTTGACCTGAGTTTATGGCGCTGAGAAGAAAATATCAAAATAGTGAAACTAACGGACAAAGCAGTCAAAATCTATTTTATATACTCCCTCCGTCTCGAAAAGGATTGCCAAATTGACTTTTCTTGATCAACGTCAATCAACTTTGACCAACTATATTTTTTAATACGTAATTATTTTGAAAATGAAAATTATATCAAAATGTTCCTTATTCAAAATATTTTCATAAAAGTATAAAATTTATCAATTATATATAAATTTAATAGTTAAAATCATTGTCCAAAGTTTACCATCATTGACTAAGAAAAGTTAATATGGCAAACCTTTTCGGGACGGATGTAGTATAAGAAAACAAATATCTCATCAAAAGACAATTACAGCTTTCATTAATCTTACGTGTCACTCTGTCCATAATTCTCTCCTCTCGTTCCTTATTGCCACGTGGCTACTTATTTAAGGAATTGAGTTTGTTTTTTGTAATTTTTTTAACAGAAGCGAAACAACCACCCGACTCCTCTGCATTCACTAATCACTACTATTCACTCCGTTTTTCACTTCTAATCATGATGATAATAATAATTCTAAAGATAAAACCCAGCATTCTGTGTAATTCCTACTAGGACTCCACAAATATGCACTTTGTATAATTTAATTCTACAAAATTTCAGAAACTACAATTTAATTTTTACTTAATTTTAAGATTTTCTATTAGTTTATCTCAATCATATAAAGTCCCCTAAATTTTTAAAGTGCTATATCTTTTTTAAATTTATTAATTTTTTGTTAACTTTCAAATTTAATTTTTACTTTATTTTAAGATTTCTATTAATTTATCTCAATCAAATAAAGTCCCCTAATTTTTTATAAGTGTTATACTCCGTATCTTTTTTATTTGTACTCTGAATGTTACAAAAAACATTGTTATAACTTTTTCATTGTTGATCCACTTTTTGAAAAAACATATCAAAATTCATTATTATGAACGATCTTTTATTAGACACTAATATTGCATATATAAAATTCAAAAACAAATCTAAGGTTTATTAAAAACCTTTCTAATTTTAACCTCAAAGCGGATTATTCCATATTAAAGAAAGAAATAATTTCTATATTGTCAAATATTCTGTGGGAACCATAATTTCTATATTGTCTAATATTCTTTATTATCTATTTATGAGTATGTGACATTTCAAATAGGTAGATTTCAACTTCAATATGGTTAGTAACAACAGATAATTGAGCGGAAATTTTTTCTCTCATATGTAGTGTTTTTGGTACAAAATAAGAGGACTAATAAATGAACGGAATAATTTTCTCTCTTATACGTAGTCTTTTAGGTATAAGATAAGATGTGATAAATGGACTAATATTTGAGCGGAATAATTTTCTCTCTCTCATATGTAGTGCTTTTAGTTAAAAATAGATAAGCGGACTAATAATTGAGTGTGTACTTTTTGTTACATATATAGTGCTTTTAGATATAAGATAAGATAAACATACTAATATTGACAATGCGAGTTTCATCTCTTATACGTTGTGCTTTTTGGTATAAGAAAAGCGGACTAATAATGCACAGGAAGAATTTTCTCTTTTATATGTAGTGTTTTTTTGTATAAAGTAAGCGGACTATTAACAGAGCGTGAAAATTAATATTCTCTTTCATATGTAGTGGATTTAGGTATATAAGATAAGTGGACTAAAAATTGACCGGAAGAATTTTCTCTCATACGTAGTGCTTGTAAGTATAAGAAGATAAGATAAACGAACTAATAATTGAGCGGGAGAGTTTCCTCTCTCATATGTAGTGCTTTTAGATATAATAATAATAATAATAATAATAATAATAATAATAATAAGAGTTTTTTACAAGAATATTACTAAAATAAAACATATTTACATAAATATGACTATTCATTACTATAATGTGGAGTTGTGATAATTTAAGCTCAAAACTTGAACATGAATTACTATGATTTCATTACTACTCTAGTCATTAGTCATATTTTTGTAAATCATCTTTATTTTGATCATATTTATGTAATTATTTCTAATAACAACAACAACAACAACAACAATAATAATAATAATAACTAAAGATAAAGATAAGACGGATAAAACTTGAGCGGGATAATTTTCTCTCTCATACGCAATCATTTTAGGTATTAGATTAGATAAGATAAGATGACTAAAAATTCATTGGAGATTTTTTTGGGAGAATTTGACTTTGCACCCCATGTTTTAATGATTTTAAAAATGGGGTGCAAAATCAAATATCACCCAAAACGTGGGGTGCAAACATAACTCAAATTCTCCCTTTTTTTCTCACACATACATAGTTCTTTTATATGAGGTATAAGATAATAGGGTTAAAGCAATTGACCGGGAGAATTTGCTCTTTCATACATAGTGATTTTAGGTATAAGATGAACTAGCTAAAACTTGAGTGGGAGAATTGTCTCTTTCATATGTAGTAGTGCTTTTGGTTATAATAAAATAAACCCGCTAAAAATTGAGTGGGTGAATTTTCCCTCTCATACGTAGTGGTTTATTTGTGTGACGTTATCGATAGTTTAAAATATATGGATTGGTGATTTTTATACTACGTACATGATAAGAAAAGAGAGTCATAAGACATTACTACTCAAAGTTCTCTGTAAGATAGTTTTTCAAAACTCTAACAATTATGTTCAATATTTTATTATTTGTTGCCAACAATATTATATACTATCCTCCGTTCCGTAATTCTTGCAACAGTTTGACTTTCACGTTTGCCAAAGCACAACTTTGACTGTAATTATACTATCAATGTGAATTTCCAAAATATCAAATTTTTATAATGTTTACTAATACATAATTAAATATGGGTGAGCAGTGTGACCTTCCTCAAAAATGGGTACCAGTTAAGTTCTTTAACTGCTTGTTTGGGTCCACCCCTTTTGCCGACCATTGAGGAAGGTCACACTGCTCATACTCTCTTCATATCTAGAACTTGAAATCAAATCTTTGGACAATTCTAAGTCAATACAAGATCTCATGGATCACTCCTCACTTTAGCTCCTATTTTGACTCCACATCTCACTCCCCAAGTGCACAAGGATACCTCCTCAAACTAAATACATATATGAATGATTTAATTTTTATCCAAATGCTTAATTAATCATCACTAAAATTTGATAGCTTGAGGATTATAGGTGCACAAATGTGAAAACTATGGACATAATTCATAATAATGCCATAACGTGAGAATGAAAAGCTGTTGATTTTCTATATAATTTACACAAAAATACGCATATATATAGCCAATTAAAATTTTGAAATGATCAAAGTGTTGTTTTTAACCTCGACAGTTTGGTCGTCATCCTGGTATTTGAAGTGTTGGTAATAATAATAATGCTAATTCTTAATCTAGAAAGATGATAAATTAAGAGAATGTAACATACAAAATTCATAAAACCTTTCCAATTCAAAAGATCACTACATTATTTCTCTTTTCGATTTGTGTGTATTCCATTTTCTTCATGCTTTTTAGGATAATATATTAACATAACCCACAACCATAAATGGGAGGTTTACATAGCCTTATTCAAGTGATAAACTATTATGCTCAAGTAGTAGCGTCAGAAAAACAAGTATACTTATATCAATGAGGAAAGATGGAGAATGCAAAAGCCAGAAAAGGAGAAACAGCCTGCGGCTTCTGGCTCTTAATGTCAACAAGGACAATCAGGAGAGGAAAAGGTTTGCTTCAGAGGAAGCTGATGAGAAGGAAGAATCCAAAGGCGAAAAGTCTAGCCTACCCTCCCAAGCGAGGGCGAGGGGAAAGAGAAAGTTCCCACATTTGGCTGCCAAACAGGTTTCTGAGGTTGGATCTGAAAAAACTATACATAAATAAATATTTAAAAAATGGTGATCTGAATGAAGGGTGTTCCATCACTGGTCTAATTCAAGGCCTTACTCATGTGTATCTCTTTATTATTTATATATATGTGAACTTTAAACAATTATACTGGCCATCAGTTTGTGTTACTTTCTGAAAAATATGTTATTTCAGAACTCATTCTTGTTCTTCTCTTCGTTTAGCAGGATAGAAGCAAAGTGCAGAAGCATGAAAAATCATCAACAAACACTGGTGAGTTCTTCAATTCATATAAACCCACATATTTATAGCCATTCATGAATTAATATGTTGATCTCTATAGAAGAGATTTCACCAGTTTCCTAATGGACTTGGTCCGAAGCTCTAATTTAATTATCAGAAACCTCCCTTGTTGGCGAACCTTGGTTATTAACAACATACATTAAACTTGTCAATGGAGCCAAAGACTCACTATTTTTGACTTGGGAATATGATGGAATAAAGCAAAGTGGCTCATTAAACTATATGCGCTTCTTTGGTACTTCCTCCGTTCTTTTTTAAGTGCAACATTGGACTTTTTTCACTATTCACATGTCTACTTTGACTCTATTTTATTATTTAATTTATTACAAATTAAATTTGGAAAGAAATATGTTTAAATTCCTCTCACTTTAAAGTTTCAAAATATATATTTTTAAGCTTATTTACTAATAAGGTATGAAAGATATTAATGTTCAAACTTGTGCGTTGTCAAACGTGAAAAGTGGACTGTTGCATTTAAAAAAGAACAGAGGAAGTATGAAGTAACAGTCAGTCTATGCATATTTGACGCGATTTTCACTTGGGTCATTCGGAAACAGTCTCTTTGTGCTTTTAGTACAGGGGTAAGACTGCGTACATCCGACCCCCCTTAATCCACCGTAGGTGGGAGCCTTTGCGGCACTGGGGTAATGATGATGATGAATGATGATGATTAAGACTTGTCAATCTAGATTGAAATAGGGTAGTTCAAAGCCTTATATGTTGGTTTGTACTTTTTATATTTTATTAATGTGACATGGCTCAACCACAAGAATTGGATTCTAACTGTTAGGTGTACAGACCAAGTTGCCAGAAAAATGTGTACTCGAGCTAATTCTAGACATATTGCAAAGGTACTACTTTACAATTTGGGATACACTAATTAATCATCAGTGTTTTCAAGTTTGGTTATATGGCTCACTTTGTGTTAGCAGGAGAGATGCGTATGAAATTTTTGCTGAACCAGTGGATCCCGATGAGGTTGAATCCTATGAACTTCATTCGATGGGTTAGAGTTTTTTTGCAAGCATTGAAATAAAACTTGATATTTTCTTTATAAAGGTTGCGAATTACAATGATATCATTAAAGAGCCTATGGATTTCGGCACCATGAGGGCTAAACTTCATGAAGGGATGTATCAGAATCTTGAACAGTTTGAGGTAGGAATCAATCTCAATTATCTACTCCTACTACAAAATAAGTCACTAAAAATGCTTAAGGTAATTATTTTTGTTGCAAGTTGAAAAGCATACTTGCACTGATACCCTTACATTAAAAGTAACAAGCTAAGGTTAAATAAACAAGAAAGACAACATACTCATTTTACTAAGGTCTACTTTATGAAATTGCTAATATGCCACGTAATCATGAGAACAATTCATTTAATTAGTTGACAGTTGTCTGAGAATGGAAGGCGAATATGACTTACCAATTAAACTGTCATACACAATTAATCATCATTTTCAAAAAATTTATGCAGCATGATGCATTCTTGATCCCAGAGAATGCTATGCATTTCAACTCTTCTAGCACCATTTATTTCAGACAGGTATTTCTTGAGATTATGTCCCCCTTTTAAGGGAAATATTTGCAAGAAAGCTAATTAAAGACCATATGATGTTTTGCAGGCTAGGTGCATACACGACCTTGCGAAGAAAGTATTCCATGTCATAAGAACTGATCCTGAAAACCTTGAAATAGAATTCGCGGGTTCAAGACGAAGGTCTATGAGGAAAATGCAAAATGAAATCAAAGAGCCAAAGCCAAGCCCCCAGAAAGATGCCAAGGTTGACAATGTTTCAAACAATACCCTCTTCTGTTTTGGTGCACCATCAACACTCGTAGGGAGTGATAAAGAGAGCCAACTGTTTGCTCAAACTAATAACAAAGATCGTGTCTGCTTCCAAGGTGAGTGTTTCCCACTGAGAAAAAGGAGGTCTTTATTGATTCGCTTCTCACAATCATTCTTTGACAGGTAGGAACAATGATGATAGTCGACGCTCCACATACATAACTTGGAAGTCCTCCCTTGTAAATGAGTGCCCCAAAACAACAATTCTTGTGAGTATTTCTTTTCCATGTATGTAACTATCTATTAAGATTGACAGATCAATTGTTGTTGTTGTTGATAGGGGTGTGCACCGGTCCAAAATCAGATCGAACCGGACCGGAACCGGTTAGGACCGGAACCGGAATCATCATTTTCTATGGACCGAAGATCGGACCTGAATCTAACCGGTCCGGACCGGTCTGGACCTGAATTTTCCGGTTCGGTCCGGTCCGGTTTTGACCCTAATTGACTCGGTTTTAGAAAAAGAAATATTCTCTTAGAGTGATCTTAACCGACCCAAATTTGTTTTAGGAATAAGGCTTGGATGTTGTTGTTTCAAACTATAATTTTATGTGCGGATATGCTAAATAGGCTAAATAATTGTTTAGCTAATTTATTAATTTTGAAATATAATCATCAAAACTATTCAATCGTAACAATTAGTTTCCCGCAGTAATTAAAACTACAATATTTTGTGTATATTAAAATGGAAAAATGTATTGTAGAGTAATAAAAACTAAATTACGTCCAAAAATATACTAGGCATAAACTACATGCACACCTGCAAATAAAGAAAAAAATAAAAAGCAATTTGGAAAAATCAAACAAATATAAACTACGATCATAGTAGTGCACACCTGCACATAAATAAACAAATCAAAAACAACTTAGGAAATAATTAGACACCAAATATACACTCCATATATATTCGTTTTTATAATAAAAGACAAAAGTAAGCCATAAACATAATGACTAATGATACAGAACGAACTATATATCTTACGGAACAATAGTTTACCGGTCCATTCCGGTCCGGACCTATTTTTTTCGGGTTTGATCTGGACCGGACCGGACCGGAACCCAGAATCTTGAAAAACTAAGGACCGAAGCCCGGAGCGGTTAATACCGGTCCGGTTCTGGTCTAAAATACGGTCTGACCCGGTTAATGCACATCCCTAGTTGTTGTTGTATTAAGCCTTGAGGGTTAAATTGTAGGACGAGGCAGATACATTTACTAAGAAGTGGGGGCACATGCCCCCAATAAAAATTTACCAATAGAATATAATATAGAAAAAAAAAGTATTTCTTTTTGTAATTTGAGTGGTTGCCCCCTATCAAATTTTTTTGTTGCCCCCAATGATTTTTCCTTTTCTGTTATAAATGGAACATAAATACGGAGTATGTACTATTAGGATTCATTAACTTAAATGGAGCTAAAATAATCTTAAACAATTATCAGCAAAAAAAATTGTACCCATATCATATTAAAAGAGTTTTAAAAAATTAAACACATTTATCATTTATATTCATACTAACAAAATTATAAGTAGTTATCACTTCATATTATATTTCTTTTGGTGTAACAGTAGCAACAATAATGAAGTGCACTCCATCTATTTATGTTTAATTGATTCATTATAATTTTAGTGGTGTTTAGGATTGATATATATAAAATTTCAAAAATTGCAAGCGACATAAAAATAAGAGAAAAGTATAAGCATAAAAAGTACTCTGTAATAAACATCGAATCTAGAACATTAAAAAGTACTCTGTAATAACGTGTATACTGATATACATGTATTATCTTACACTTAAGTGAAAAGAGGTAATGCAAATGTATAGTTTAAATGATGTTATGAAAAAGATATTTTCAATCGATGATTTAATAAATAAGTAGTTAGGTGTTAACATAATATTAATCAATAAGAAGTTGTTGGATTTAAGATATAACTGATAACTAACTCAAATAAAAAGAACAATTTAATACAGTTTTTGCGTGAAGACTAAATCACAACGTGATTGAGTTTAAATTGATTGATTTTATATTCCTTTACAAGCCCAATATTTTAATGATTACGCCCCCAACAACTACTATTCCTGGATCCGCCACTTATTGTAGGTGGAGTAACCCAAAACTTGATATGTTTGTTTATATTCCATTAACATCATAACCATCATATTTCACTTAGCGATGTTTTCTTTTCTATGTCATGTATTAAGGTTAATTCATTTTCATGTAAGTAGGAGTTGTTTAAAACCTTAAGTTGGTTTATTTAAGAAAACAATGACAAAGGTATGACTAAACTAAAACTAATGGACAAAGATAGACTTTACAATGCAATCATTTGGTGATAATTTCGCATTGTAGTGACTATGGAGAGATTCAATTTTACTTTATGTGACTAATGAAGTAATGTTATAGTGATTGTGTAGTCATATTTTCACACACAAATTTTATTTTTGTAATAATATAGGAAACACCCCATTTACAAGATGTGAGATATATAATATACATTAACATTATGATAATCATATCGCAGCATCACACTAAGCAAGGTTTCATGTTTCTTGTCTAGCCAAAAGAGTTGAACATGAACTACAAAGAGAGCTTGATGAGGTTTGTTGAAGATTTAGGGCCCACAGCAAAGAGGATTGCTGCCATGAGACTACAAGCGCTCCATCTATATAATAACCCCTCATTCCAATCCCCATCTTATCAAGTTCCCACATCATATGCCAAATTCAAATTGCCATCCTTTTTGGACATGAATTCAGTAGCCGCAACATCCAATCCTCAAATAGGCTTACACACCTTCACCAATGAGACAAAGGATACCACAAAGGATACATCGCGTGCAAAAATGGACTCCAACCAGCTAGAAGATTCAGAGAAGCCGACAAGATCAATGTTGCAATATAAAAGGAACAGAAAAGCATCTGAAGCAACATATAAGAGTGGTAGTAGCAAGTTGAGTGAAAAGCAACTGGGGTCCCCTTCTCCCATTGCTAATCCTTCTGTAGATTTGAACTCTTCGCCAATGGAGAATATAAGTAGAAGCATCAAGAGTTCAGGTGATGAGCAGCTCCAGAAGGCAGGAGGGAGTTCAGTGATAGTTGACACAAGTAAGACAAATGATCGTCATAAACGTCCGATCGTATTGGCCCTTAAGTGCCCTAAAGTGCCAACCGAGCTTAAGATGGGAAACGAGGGAAATAATGTAAACCCACGGAACAAGAAATATATCCTCTCAACACCTTCGGGCAATGCTGATGGGTTAATTTCTGAAGCCCAAATGACGGCCCCAGCGGCTTTGCCACCAAAACCGTTATTGGAATCAAGGTTCACATTTGATCTGGAATTCTTCAGAGCGCGGCTAAATCAGATGAACTCAAAAGCAAAAAAAGATTTTGGGCAGCAATCACTCTAAGATCAAAGAAGCGGAATTATTTTGGGGGGTTTTGGGCCGCGGTTATTCTATGAACATAGCAACAAACATGGTAGTCTCACTAGCTTACTAAACAACAAAGATGAATATCAGCAAGAAACATCAGTAATGCCTTCAATATACAGAAGTAACAATAATTATCAACCTCCATGGCATTCATCTTCTCCTCCCTCATATTCTAATCTGCCTCTTTAGCTGTAGCGTAAATGCCAACCTTTTGATTGAAAATCATTCTATTGTTTTTTGTGCACCAATTTTTACATCGCCTTTTACAACATTATCATCTTATATTTGCATAGACACACCCATTAATCAAATATGCACAAATACGACACTCGTGTGTGCATGCATAGACACAATGAGTCACTGAGAACAAAATTATGTTTGTGCGAACTTTATGTAAGGCGTGGTGTGGATAGAACATTATTTTTCGTAGCATTTATCATGGAATACGGAAACAAGAATAAGCACCTTTGAGAATCCACCCAACTCGCCATTTTTTTCTACTTCTTGTTTGATTGCCTTATCACAAAAACTTATTAGATCTTACTCCACTTGATTTTCCTAAGATTAAGAAAATATTTAAGAGTAATTTTCTTCTACATTACTCTTAATTCTTAAAACAACACATGCACTTTTTCACTTTGTGATGCCAAAACCACGGATCAATGGATTTTTTTTAGTTAAATGCATGAGTCAAAGCATTTTAGAAGCTATGCATACACATAACCAGGGGTGTAGCTAGGGGCCAACCTTGGCCCCGGCCCAGCCCAGCCCAAATTTAAAAAATATCCAAAGTTTTAGTGTAAAAAATTTCGTGTAAATTTTTCCCCCAAAATTATTCTTTGTACCGGCCCAGCCCGACCCAGTGTCCTGGCTCCGCCCTTGCACTTAACATTAGTTTGGAAGGGCCAATTATGCTTCATCCCTATTCAGAATGTTATATGGGGTAGGGTTGATTGTTGGTTCAATTTTGTCAGTTTTGGTTTGGTAAGTCCGGTTTTGCTTTTAAAACCAAGACCGTAACAAATACTTTGTGTCAATTTATAGTTTTGCTTTTTATCCTTGGTTGTAATAGGTCGGTAAACTCCTTCGTTTAGAACCGTACTTGAGAATTTCCTACTCCATACAACTCAAAAGCTAACTCTTTTAGAGGTTTCGTTTTCATTAAGATGGCTCTTCAATGGATCTTACTGTTTTCAGGTTTACTAACATAAGTTCATTACATGAGTTTCAAACTGAAATTTGGATTCAAAATAAATTTCATCTTGTTTTATCTCTTTTCCCACCTTTAGAAGAATAAAACAAACACAATATTTTCACTATCATTATAATTTTCTAAAAGGTAACTATATCAGTTTCTCAAGACTTTAGCGGATCAACTTTATTAGATAAGTTGATTACTCATTTTTATTTTATATATTGAAATAGGATTTTCTCATATCATGACATATATGTCCGCATGTATTATTGTATTGGTCCAAAACATCGCAATTTCATCTTTAAGGTGCTTCCTCTAGATTCTATCAATTAAAACCTTTTTATCCATATAATAAAGTGACTAGACTTCTTCTGAATTTTGAATTGTATGAAGTTTCCTTGTTTACTACAGCAAACAAAAATTGTTGTTTTAGACGATGCATATGTAGGAAGTCTCTGGTTTATTATAGTAATTTTTCCTTTCTATAATAGGAATAGTCGCACGTAATGACAAATAACAGCCAAATTATTCAAAGCTTGTGGTAAGAATGGATTTCGTTCTAGTGCTGAAAATAATATTACAAAGCTTTTGTATGTTCACCCGTACTTGCGTGGATAAGACCTATATTATACAATATATAACTTCGATCATATGGATCTATTTCTAGTCGCATAGCTTCATAATATTTCTGTAAAGTTTCTGCATATTTTCCTTCAGAGTGAGTCGACATTCATTACGGCCATTAGTAATCAATTAAAAAAAGAATCTCCGTTCCAAAACCTCCCTTAGGTGCATAATGATAATACATGTAATAAAAAGATAATCTAACAAATATAAATATTTTGATTATCCACTGAGTAGAGCAAATGTTTATACAAGAAATCTCTAGCCAACCTTCCTGCAAGATCCATTTTCCAATCATCAAACTTAGTATTTTTAGATACGTAGAAATCATAAAAACCTCCCAATCATTTTTTGTTTTCAATGCCTGCTAATTTCCGGAAATTAGTCACTTCAATAACATTCGATGGATGCTTGTTTTGGCAACGGTTGATTTCAAACAAAGTTTTCATTTTGTTGATTCTTAGATTTTGTGGTTATTCCCCTATGATGCTTATTAGCACTAATAAAATACTCCATTCGTCTCTTAATTAAAGTCATTTGACTTTACACATATTAAGGAAATAAATTTACTTAGGGGTAATTTTTATTGTAGAATACACTATTTTGAAAATGTTTGACATTGCTTTGTACCATTTTGATAAAGATTTGTTTAAAAAATAAAAAAGTATGCCTTTATTTAGGGACATCCAAAAAAGAAAGTGTCACTTTAATTTAGGGACGACAGAGGGAGTAGGATTTACGAGTATAACCTATAGTTCTAACCTTCCGCTCAAGACTAGAAATTATAAATGAAATCTAGCCTTTTAAGTTACATTAATTGAGGACTAAACAACAGAAGGAATTGTTAAATTTAATAAAAAAATTATTTAGGGACATCCAAAAAAGAAAGTGTCACTTTAATTTAGGGACAGAGGGAGTAAGATTTATGATTATAACCTATAGGTCTAACCTTCCGCTCAATACAAGAAATTATAAATGAAACCTAGGATTTTAGGTTACAATAATTGAGGACTAAACAAAGGAATTCCTAAATATAATAGAAAATTTTAAAGCGGTGGATAGTCATACACTATTTAAAATTTTCTATTATATATATATGTAATATTTTCATAAAAATTTTATACTTTAATTAGATGTATTCTCATTTATCATAAGGGGTTTTAAATAGTGTATGTATGTCCTAAATCTTTTGTAAATTGCTTGATAAATTATTTCTTCATTCAATCTAGTATTGTGTGTGTGTGTGTGTCTGTGTCTTCACTGGAACCGCCGTGCGGACAACAACATCAGAGGGTCTTCCTGGTGGATTTTTTTGATGAAATGTTTTAGCAGGTTCCTCATCAAGTCTAGTTAATGCATACCAAATTTCAGCTCAAAATTCAATCGGGAAGGCAAGTAAAAAAATTCTTGAAACATAATGTGTTTTATATATGTACAAAATGTGTTGTAACAGAAGAGCCGCCACTTGGAGTGGGGGCTTTTGTACTACAAGAGAAGAGATGCCACTTTAAGTGGCGGCTTTCCTTAACCACGATCAACCCAACAGTATTTTGGAAACTATTTTTAGCCCAACAGTATTTTGGGAATTATTTATTCAATTAGCATTATTCAGAGAGAAAACTCTGCATAATAATTACATATATCAAGTACTCGAGAGATAGTAAAAAATATGGAGCAGTGTATAGAATAAGCTTATTGTAATGTGATACTAATTGTTACTAATTATGGGATTGTAACGTGATACTAATTCTTACTGTATTCATTAGACAAGATAAATTAGGGATACAGTAATGGTTATTTGACAATTTTATATTAATTAGTGAATTTCTAACAATTATCATACATATGTAAAAAACAATTATTACGCATATACTCTAAGGCAGGGAAATTACATCACATAATTCAATATCATGTTATAATTTTCATACAATAATTATATATGTACACATTGCTCATGACCTTAATTATTCTTAAAAATAATTTAATTTCATCTGTAATTTGTGCAACACACATGTCCATAGACTAGTATATACTTCATCCGTCCCTTAAAATTTTGTCAATTTTTTTTTGATGTCTCATTAACTTTGTCATTTTCTTTTTAAGTAAAGAATTCATGGTTCCAATTAATTCTCTCTCCTCTGCACAAACCTCAACCACACAGTTCTTATTTTATTAATCTCTGTGTCGGTCAAACTTGACAAAGTTTTAAGTGACATAGGGAGTAAAGATTAGTTCATTCTTCTATAGGTCAAACCAGACTTAAATAAATCAAACTCAACCTCAATAAACTCGATTAGATATTTTGATAGTTACTCCCTCCGTCCCTTATAATTTTGTCAACTTTCCCTTTTTGGTTGTCTGAAAAACTTTGCCACTTTTCATTTTAATCAATCAATATCAGTTCGTATACCGTGGGAGCAACCCATATTGAGCATCCTACTCTCGCGGCCAAAACGACGTAGCATTTGATTAAAAAAACGTTGTAACACCGTCCCCAATTATATTTACTTTTATGTAAATCATGTATTGAACCTTACGAAATGATTAATGAATTTACGAGGTTGTAAATTTTTGTTATTACTTTTGCGTGAATTATGAATTGCACGTAGGGCCCACATCGAGAGCGGGGACCACCCTATATTTCCGGGACCACACATTATATTCATCTTGGTCTAGATAATATGTATATGGTGTTGGATATACTAGTTGGACCATGGGAAGGGCTTAAGGTTGACCGGTTGGTCAAACGGGGCCCAATTACCGGTATTGGTAATTTATCGGATAACAGTCCGAAATGGGTTTCGGAGACTTCTAAATTAAAGTTGAAGAATGTATATTCATTATAAGAACCCATATGGGTTGGGAACGTGTGATATATTTTATTTGGCCCGATAAAATAAAAATGTAATTAAAATAGTCCGAGAAATACAACTTTCGGGACCGAGAAATACAACTTTCGGCCACCCCACGTTTTTGAGAGCTCAAACATGAAAAAGGGGGACTGCACAACAAGGATTGTGAGGTGTGTGTGGGCTGAGGGTGATGTTTGGGTGAGAGTTGACCTAAGGTGGGCCTCTCTCCTCACTCATTGGCCATTTGAGACAAAAGGAGTCTCCTCACTCCCTCCTCCATTGTATTTTGCGTCCAAACCACCCCAAGAAAGAAGAGGAGCTCTGCAAACACCATACTCCATAGCTAAATTCGGACTCAATCTCAAGTGAGGCAAAGAAGGAGGTTTAAAGAGGAAAATGGGAGGAAAAAGTGTGGTGATTAAGGTAATGACCTTATAATAACTTTTCCTCTGCTTTTTATTTATCATATGGCTTATATAGCATATGGAGGACCCCTAGAATTGTTCTACATGTTTAGGAGTGTAGAATGAGGGGTTGGAAGGTAGTTCTAAGTCCAAGAACGGAGTTAGAAGCCAAAGTGACCGGTTCACCGGAAAATAACCTTTTAGAGGTTATTTGTATTGATATGGGTTTTATGATGATAAAACCTTGCTAGGAACTTGTCTAAGGTGTTCCTAGAGCTTTCACGAAGTTGAAAGAGTCGCCGGAGTGTTCGCCGGAGTTTGTCAAAGTTTGCCGGAGTTTCGCCGGAGTTCAACCGAAGAGGATAGAACTTCATAAAGCTCATTCGAGGTGAGTGGATGGCTTAATGTCTTGTAACTCTTGGTTTAAGTATGAGATTACCTAAGTAAATGTAATAAGTGTTCATAATGATGTTAAAGGAACTTAAGTATGTGATTAGTCAATTTTGAAACCAGTGCCTCAAATGGTCTCAATTGAGGTATATCCCGCCAAAAGGCAACTCTTTAGACTTTGTTGATAGGAAATTTCCTTCCATGGTTGAGATGTGGGGTTTTTGTCTTGTTGGACTGTTTACCGGGAAACACCCTGGGCTTAAGGCTATCTATGAATTGAAGAACACATGGGGGTTAGTTGCATTGTCAAAACCCATCAAAGGGGGTGGGTTATCTTTAAATTTCATAATGAAGAAGATAGAGAAAAAGTGTTGAAAGGGGGGCCTTATACCATTTTTGGCATACAACTCATGCTAAAAGCACTCTCCGAAGATTTTTCGTTTGACGATGATGAATTTCTTAAGGTTCCGATTTGGGTTAAATTTCCAAATTTACATATGAAACTTTGGAATGAGGATGCGATGAGTGAGGTTGCTTCCATGGTTGGGGTTCCATTATCTACGGATAAGTTACTCAGGATAGGAGCAATCATTTCTATGCTAGGGTATTGATTGAGGTTGATGTATCCAAACCACCGCCGATGTCATTTCCTATCCGGCTACCGTCCCGTAAGGTAGTCAATCAATCTGTGGTTTATGAGACTTTCCCCAACTTCTGTTTCCACTTCAAAGAATATGGGCATCACCCATTTATTTGCAAGAAATTGGCAACACAAGAACGGGAAAAGGCTAGAGAAGAAAAGGAGGAATAGACGGGGATTGAGGGCATGGGGGCAGAATTAAAGGACAAAGAGAAGTTACAAGTGAAGAAGGTTGAGATCCAAAAAAGTACCTTGGAGAAAGAAGTAAGGACTGATGACGTTGAGGCCGAGGAGGAGGACGATGGAAGCGAGCCGGATACAGTGCAGGACTGTGCATCGCAGGAGATGGGGCCGATATCCTCACCGAACAAGGACACCTCCTCACCGGAAGACTCGGAAAGTGAGGAATCAGACTCTGGAAGAATAGGCCTGAGTGCCGATGATTGGAAAATCTTTGAAGAATGCAAGGAAAAAATTATGGAGCTGAGGAGGAAAATGGAGGAAGGTAGAGACAAAGAACCTGCTCAAAAGGGTTTGGGCTAACAGTCTGTTTGTTCTTTTTTAGGAGGATGTGATGTGATGATAAGTTTGTTCTTCTTTTTCTTGGAGGATGTGATGTGGTGATAGCTCTGTTTCAGGGTGATACATTATATTTAGGTTAGATTTCTTTTTCTAACTTAGATAGCCTTTCGTTTGATCTTGTGTGACACATTGTATAATGTTATTTTTGGGTGTTTAATACAATTACCGTTCATCCAAAAAAAGTATGTGATTAGTCAAAGTAATTTGGCTTATGTGAATGATACTACATGATTTTGCATGTGAAAAGTATAAAATGTGTATAAAAACATATGTGATGTTTTGGATGGTTAAAGTGAGATATTTTGGTTGTTTAAGACCCAATACATGTTGTATAAAAGTTTCGGATGGATCGGAGATCATCCGGGGGGTCAACGGATCGCTGCCGTTGGGCAGATGGTGACTCGGCGCCGGCCATAGGGCCGAACCGGCGCCGGTTAAGCTACTGCCCAGCCGGCCTGGGCATTTTGGTATGTACCCGGCGCCGGGTATAGGGGTAACCGGTGCCGGTTAAGCTGCTGCCCCGATTTTTGTCTTCGCTGAAAACGCATACCGAGGCCCAGTTTGAAGGGGGATCAACCCCGGCCATCCTATGTAAGTATATTGTGCATGGAATATGATATTTAATTGTCAAGTTTGATATCTAATGATTAAGCTCCAAGGCTTGGTTTACTCTTGATAAATAGTTATGATGTAGGTCCTATCTAGATTGATATGAGGTAGATCATAGGGATACATATGGTGGAGGACCCAAGGACTTTAATGTCCTTAAAACTTATATGCATATGGTGGAGAACCCAAGGACTAAAGAGTCCTCAAAACTCGGAATATATGTTTCGGTGGAGAACCCAAGGACTAAAGAGTCCTCAAAACTTATATACATATGGTGGAGAACCCAGGGACTAAAAAGAGTTCTCGAAACTCATATGTACATCGGTGGAGGACCCAAGGGCTAAAGAGTCCTCAAAACTCATGGTCGAGGACCCAAGGACTATAATGTCCTCAAAACTCAAAGGTAAAATGGTGGAGGACGCAAGGACTCAAATGCCCTCAAAACTCATGGTGGAGGATGTTAGGAAATTGATGTAACGTACCTCGAAAGTACGGCAGCGGAAGTTTAAAATTTTTCCAAACAGATCTTTCCTGATTATGACAAAATAACGAATATGATAATTATAACAGATCTGAGTTAGAACTTACAGATCTTCCAGCCTAGCGGTGATAATCCTTGACCTTTGGTATCCACGTGATTTCTCCTTTCCGAAATAACGGTTAGATCTCCCTAAGAGAAAGGCTAGGAAATCTCTTCGCAAGGAAATAAACTGGTAATACTGAATCTGAAAACTGGTCTTTTAATTATGAAGGAGGATGGTGTATTTATACTAGTTCTAAACTAGTTTTCCAATCACAATGAAAGTCTTACTCATTAATGAGTTCTAGTCCAACTAGGCTCAATAAATATTGTACTTAATTAAATAAATCAATATAAATGATTGTTAGAGGGGAGGATGGCTCACGCCACTCCTTCCTCTCCTAATATTATTTATATTCTAATTTTCCTTTAATTCTAAATTATAAAGAAAATATCAACTTTATTTAATTAAAATTACATCTTAATTAAGTATAATAAATCTAATTTATCAAACTTAATTAATTCTATCAAATAGAACTTTCCTTCAACATGATGAATTGAATATATTAATCTAATTAATAATTAACTCATCTTATTTTCAGCATTATGAATTAAATATTATTTAATCCAATTAATAATATTTAATTCCTTCTAACAATTCAATCGGAAGGTATAATCACTTGTTGTGTGACCCATAGGGCCTTGTATATTAAGCACTAATCAAATTAAGGTCTTAGTAGAATCCCCAGACGATTTACCAGACAAACTTAACATATAAGGACGTTTGCGAGGACTATTCAAACTCTCTGTAATATAGAGTTCATAGTGATACGGTCCTTTCATTCAGCGAACATTCAACTAAGTCTAGAACATGATATTGTGTCTATTCCAATAACTCAGTCTCTGTCTCTCAATCTTTCTAGATGATCCATTACGATCATATTCGATATCCAAAACGAATATATCTTTGCATTGGCCAATGACTTTATGATCCATCTATATATGAGAAGTAGAATATTCTCTCTTAATCTATTATGAGGAATGAATCCTTTCTTGGCTCAACTACTACTCCATGTGCTTCGTGATGCACCCAACACATGCCGTATCTACCCCGATATATAGGAGTGCAAGCGTTGGTCATGGTCAAAGTACATCACTCTGCACATGTAGTATGTATTGACCTCAAGTCGGAGGACTATTACACTACTCTATACGCCGATAATCCCATAGACACATGAATAGAACTTATCAAATGGTTTCTCGGTGGGTATGCCAATATTCTCTAAAATATCTATGTGACCATCATGAATTACAGGAACTCATAGTTGTGAGATCAACTATACTTTCTAAAAGTATGATGCAGTCCACATACCAATCTTATCGCATATCATCAATATCCCATTCTTGATGATCATTGATTGAGGCTATTTTAGAACCTTATGTTATATCATATAAGCTCCCACTTACTTATTGACAACATAAGTCCAAGGGAACACAATTATGAATAAGATATTGACAATCGTAATACTTAATCATCGATGTGTAATACCGTATATATCAAATATATAAAACTGAATGTGATCAAGTACATATATCTCTAAAAAGTGATTGTCGCTAGGACATATATACTAACAATCTCCCACTTGGCCTAGTGCCAATCACCAATGCGTCTAACACCTAGACTCTCAAAAGTCTAGTATGTTTCTCACATCTCAAAGTGAATGGGCCAGCCAAATTGTCCTCTGCGGGAAGGTGTTCTATTGCAACATTTCCTCTTGCTATTTGTTCTCAAAACATGATAGCACACATGTATTTTCTAGTTCCTTACTTTGCATCTTGGGTCCTTAGCTTGTGCAAATGCACCGGTACAGTCACAATAACAATTATTGGATAACGATCGCTAGGAACTACCTCTATTTCCTTAAGGAACTAACGTATCTAAATGCTTACCTATGTTGCATCAAATGCAACAATTTACTAGGCTCTAGTTGTCGAATTTATAGTAGTTTCTAACTTGTAACTCTTTCAGCACTACTATTACATTGAGACTAAAAACATATATTGACTGTGACTCGTAGTCTTTCTTATCATACATGAAACTAGTGCTAGAATAATTAAATTCTACTAGTCCTTTTTGTCTACCATAGACAAAAAGATGTTCATGAAGATTTTGGGTGACCATCCTTTCATGGACTTCAATGAGGGGATATCATTCTCTATGATCAACATATATCATTATAAAGACCACGCTATCCTTATTGCGCACTCTAAACACGCAAGCATCCTCATTTCATTTGATGAGGTCAAACGATTTGACTATTTCATCAAAATTAATATTTCAACTCCTAGAGGCTTGTTTTAGCCCATAAATAGATTTCTCTAATTAACATAATGATTTAGAATTTGACATGGATGCAAAAGCCTTCAGGTTGTACCATGTACACCTACTCCTTGATGTTTCCATTAAGGAAATGGGTTTTGATATCCATTTGTCAAATCTCATAATCCTAGTATGTAGCTGTCACAAACAAAATCCGAATGGTCTTGAGTTTTGCAACTGGCGAATAGGTATCACTATAGTCACATCCTTCTCTTTGACTATAACCTTTAGCCACTAGCCTAGCTTTGTATGTTTTCACCTTGCCTTCGACATTAATTTTCTTCTTGAAAATCATTTGCATCCAATGGGTCCAACCCCAACAGGCAAGTCAACCAAGTTCCATACTTGATTGATACACTTCGAGTCCATTTTAGATTTTATGGCTTCTCGCCACCTCTATGAATCAACATCTAATATTGCTTCTATGTGGGTCTCAGGTTCATCCGTATCAGGAATCTTAACATCATCATGATCCTCCATGAGGAAGCCTAAACTAGTTAGTTCATGACAAATCCTAGTAGACCTGCAGAGTTGAATGTTTTGCGTTTTGTTCAGGCTGTTCATTCTTATCGTGAAGAGGTTCTCTTTCATTGGACTATCCAATGCTTAGAGAGTTTTCTGGTGCTATACTCAGAGAGGGAGAGTTAGGTGCAGAAGGAATGACAACCATGCCATTACTTTCTTCATAAGAATCACTTACTGGTGCGAAGCGCTTCCTATATTACTCCCACTAGCTGAAGGATATCCTCCTAGAGACATTCTTCACCTTAATTCTCCCACTGAATCCTTCGCTAGACAATCTAGCAAATTTTCATTCTCTATGTTACTTTAGCTTTTAATTTGATTAGTGCACATTTATTTACATATGTAGGGCAACCCATATTTAATATGTGAAGAAAATGTCTTTTATTATACTATAACTCATATAGTACGTTTTGCACTAATCAAACTATTCAGAATGCATATTGAGATTTGTAGCGTGTACCCTCAAAAGAATGTTTTGAAGAGAAAATGAATTCATCATAGATCTAGCCATGTCTAACAAAGCCTTATTTCTCCTTGCAGAAACGCCAGACTTCTAAGGTGTTCTGGAGGAGTTCATTATGATGGAATTCTTTGACCTTTTAAATAAATCAGAAATTTCACTTAAGTACTCCTTGGCTTGCTATCCTTTTTCCTAGAAAAGGTTTATTAGTCAAGTTGCTTGAAAGACAAGATTCACAATTTTCATATGACTCAAAAGCAAATGGTGTTAAATAATCTAATTCATTTAACGTTGCTATTCTTGTTTCATTAGTTTGACCAAGTTTGCAATGTCATAGATAGGTAGTAATTTTTCTGATTACTTAATCGAGATCCTTTTATTTTATTCATTTAATATCTAATATGTCGATTGATAATTAACCATTCATAAGAAAAGCATTTCCACAACAATACCATTTTATGAAAATAACAATTATTATTAGCAAAATGGAAATAGAAATCTTTTAATGTCTAACATATGAATGGAAATAATCTTCTTGGTAATATAAGGAATAAAATAACAATTATTTAATTCTAATCTAAAACCACTGGGCAAATCTAAACTATAAGATCCTATCGCGTTCAGCAGCAACTTTTGCTCCAACCTTCACGCGTAGGTCAATTTTACCCAGTCCAACTGCTACACTGCTTCTCATGCTTCTGCACATTTTTACAAATGTGTAAGCCATAAGTTGTATCTAATACTTTAACAATGAGAGTTAGTTATAGACATATTTATTTAATGATAAAAATACCTGAGCTTGAAGCACCTGGTGCTTTGGCTAGATTAGCCTTATACAACTCACAATCTCTCTTCCAATGCCCCTTCTCTTTGCAGTAGAGGCAAACATTCTTTGCAACCTTTGGCTTCATATGACCTCCACCTTTAGGCTTCAGAGCTGTAGGAGTAGGTCCAACCTTACCTTTCTTCTTTTGCTTATTCTTGTTCTTAGAACGAGACTTAGCATAAGAGCTTACCATAAGAACAGTCTTTCCTTTAGAGGTTGAGGCTTCATAAGACTTGAGCATGTTATGGAGTTCAGGCATGGTCGCTTTCGTTTTGTTCAAATTATAATTCACAATGAAGTTAGTAAATGAACTTGGAAGCGAATATAGGATGATAGCAGCTGAGACACGATCCTCAAACTTAATTTCGGTGGTAGCAACTCTTTCAATTAAGCCAATCATTTTGAGGACGTGCTCAGACACGTTGCCACCCTCTTGAAGCCTACACTTGAAAATGTCTGTCAGAAGTTCATACTCTAGAGTCTGACTTTCCGAATCAAACAGACTTTTCAAGTGTTCATGCATCTCGAAGGCGCTCATCCTATCGTGTTGCCTTTGCAACTCCATAGACATTGCAGCCAACATAACACACTGTACAGTTTTAGCATCAGTGACGTGTTTCTCTCGAGCAGTCAGGTCAAACGTGGCAAACTCAGGAGAGTTGGCATCAGGAATCTTGGGTACCGGTGTGTCTAACACATACTCAATATTTTCTTGTCTAAGAACTAGACGTACATTTCTTTCCCAGTCCAGAAAGTTTGGTCCAGTAAGCTTGCATGTATCCAAGATACTTCTCAATGATAAATTCGACATTCCTAAAAGCCTAAAGAAGTTCAAATAGAACGGAATTAAAATCATATATTAATTCCTATGATCACATCTAGTTAACTAAATAATATGGACTTTTAATTATTTAGCTCCCACTATTTTGCATGCTCTTTGACCCCAATAAAAAGAACATGGAATGTTTTACAATCATAGTGGCCAAAATCCTCATTCATACTATTACAGTCCCAGCTTGGGCTGATCACTTCAATAATATAATGGGTAGGTCCCTAGACCAATTGCGTCCAAGCAACTTTTGGTTGATCAATTTTCAAATTGATCGACATCCCTAAATTAACACTGACGCTTGGGCGACTCGAGTTAATTTAAGTAAGTCAAAACCATCACACAATCACAAACATATGTATCTATAAATTAGTTCTATATTTTGTCGAATGAAATAAACACTTGGGTGAAATATTCTTCAACGAAAAAATATTTCTACTAATTTAATTATGATGGGTGATGTTGTTATCCTAGATAAGACTTAAATTTTAATTTATGGGGAACATTTAACGGGGTATTAAATTACTTAAACAAGATGCTAAAACATATTATCAATGTCAAATAATATGTTAATGAGTTCTAACTCAAACATATAAATTAAAGCATGCAATATAAATCTAATTTATATACAAATACAATAGTCAAACATAAACATGCTTAAAAATTACAATTAAATTAGTCTATCTAAATTTCAAAGATGATTAATCTAATTAAAAACGATTAATTTCATAATTGTAAATTTACTCAAAGGTCTTATATTGATTATGTGCCGATTTTATCTTTAAATGGAACAATCCACCAAACAATAAAATACAGCAACAACAAAAAAGGGTCCAAACTGAAAATCATCCTGCCACATGTCGATAAAAAACAGGTCATTAAAACTAATGCCTCAACAATGTAAAAATTTGCAATAGAGCTCCAAGCCCTAATAACACATTTTGGCAGAGCAATTAAACAACCTTCCATCTCCAAATTGGAAGATATCTGCGCCAATCAGATCGTTTAAAAGAAAATAAGAAGAAACGCAAATCATCCGAGATGCAGGTCATCGCCGAACATCCGCCGTCGCCTACATGGTCATCGTTGTTCGGAACTTTCACGCGAAGATCTCTCAATGGCAAAACACAATGATGGAGTTTTAATTTTAGATTTCTAAAAACTAACAATTAAAGTGATTTTCAAAAACAAATCCTGATTTACTTAATTTCGAAAATCCAATTTCAGAAAACATACACTTTGCGAAGGAAATCAACGTTGTAGTCCAGCCAAAATGTAATCGTATTTCAATTTCAAAAATTGAATTACGGCAAAATATGTAATATACTATACAATTATATATATTGATCACATAGTACATTAAATTCGTATAATGTCATTAGAATCAGGTTGGCTCTGATACCAGTGTTAGGAAATTGATGTAACGTACCTCGAAAGTACGGCAGCGGAAGTTTAAAATTTTTCCAAACAGATCTTTCCTGATTATGACAAAATAACAGATCTGAGTTAGAACTTACAGATCTTCCAGCCTAGCGGTGATAATCTTTGACCTTTGGTATCCACGTGATTTCTCCTTTCCGAAATAACGGTTAGATCTCCCTAAGAGAAAGGCTAGGAAATCTCTTCGCAGGGAAATAAACTGGTAATACTGAATCTGAAAACTGGTCTTTTAATTATGAAGGAGGATGATGTATTTATACTAGTTCTAAACTAGTTTTCCAATCACAATGAAAGTCTTACTCATTAATGAGTTCTAGTCCAACTAGGCTCAATAAATATTGTACTTAATTAAATAAATAAATCAATATAAATGATTGTTAGAGGGGAGGATGGCTCACGCCACTCCTTCCTCTCCTAATATTATTTATATTCTAATTTTCCTTTAATTCTAAATTATAAAGAAAATATCAACTTTATTTAATTAAAATTACATCTTAATTAAGTATAATAAATCTAATTTATCAAACTTAATTAATTCTATCAAATAGAACTTTCCTTCAACATGATGAATTGAATATATTAATCTAATTAATAATTAACTCATCTTATTTTCAGCATTATGAATTAAATATTATTTAATCCAATTAATAATATTTAATTCCTTCTAACAATTCAATCGGAAGGTATAATCACTTGTTGTGTGACCCATAGTGCCTTGTATATTAAGCACTAATCAAATTAAGGTCTTAGTAGAATCCCCAGACGATTTACCAGACAAACTTAACATATAAGGACGTTTGCGAGGACTATTCAAACTCCCTGTAATATAGAGTTCATAGTGATACGGTCCTTTCTTTTCGGAAACATTCACTTTGGGAGAAGTGAATCTACAAACGCAAAGTTACATACTAAACCAACACAAGTTACACAAACACAATGAACAAGTAAAAAACTAACACAAAGTTACATACTAAACCAACATGGGTTACACAAACGCAATGAACAAATTATACGGAATAAGTAAGAGGTTACATCAAAATACAAATAACTTACTCAGACCGGTAGAAATCAAACTCTGCAACTGTGTCACATCGTTTGACAACATAATGAAATAGAGGAACAAAATTTATCTTCTTCCGTAGAAACATGATGTGTTTTTTCAAATTCTCATCTATATGCCAAGTGCATAGCCGATGTCTTGACTCAGGGAAAACTGATTTTATAGCTGCTGCCATTGAAAATGATTGGTCTGTCATAAATGTGATAGAGTGTTTACTGCCCATAGATTTCAAAAAAGTCTGAAATAACCAAACAAAGGACTCCACCTTTTCATTCAACATAAAGCCACAACCAAACATAATATTCTTACAGTGATGATTCATACCAACAAACGGACCACAAATCATGTCATATTTGTTAGTCCTGTAAGTTGTATCATGCAAGACTAAATCACCAAACCTCTCATAATCTGATCTCATTTGGCCATCTCTCCAGAAAAAACAACTTAGTACACCTTCATCTACCTCAAAATCAAAGTAAAAATCAAATTCCACTTCAGCCCTTTTTTTCAATATAGAAATCAAAGTGTTAGAATCACTACCATCAAACGTTTTACTCTTTTCAGATTCTAGAATGTTATAAGCATCACGTTTGGTGAATCCAAGAGCACTAACCCCACCTGCCTATTTTTGAAGCATACATTGAATATCAGAAACCTTTGTCCCGCTCTCCTTCATCAACATAATAAATTCAAGATACTCATGATCAACACCTCGATGTGATTTCAGAAGGTGTCTTTGACCAATTGAACAAAAAGAATGGTTGTGATTAGTAATATGCTTTGAAACAGTCCATTCACCATCAACACTAATAGAAAACTGCAACTTTGCTTTACAACCTGAACGATAATCTAATTTCGTATACATTTTATTTTCAGTGCCCTTTTGTAGTTTCTTCCCTTCTTTTCAACAACAGTAAGACTTCATAATCAAACTTACATTGTCACTCCTAAAACTATGTTTGCATCTTCGAATACCAAATCCATTTTCAAAGGCATGACCGTTGTAAAGATTATAAGCATCCTTTTCAGATTTAATACAGAATCCAACAAGTGATTTATTCTCAGTTGCCTTGTCAACAGTTGCAAATGTATCTGACAATTCACAAAGGTGATATATGAAAAACAAACCACTCTAAAGAAGATACATACAATTGAATACAAGTTACATAGTGTTGATCATAAGTTACATACACTTAAACTAAAGTTACATTTTAATAAACATAAAGTTACATAAAACTTAACTCAAGGCACATACAATAGTTGCATACATAAAGTTACAGTTCAATTGCATACAGTAGAACAAAAGTTACATACAACAAAACAGAAAGTTACATAAGCTTTAGCGCAAGTTACATACATTAGAAAAGAAGTTGCATAGATTTGAATGTAATTTACATATTATTAAACAAGATATTTGAGCATACTGCAAACATAAAACTAAGAGCCAAATTACATAAAACTAAAGAAAAGTTACATACAATTGAAATAAAATGACATAACATCGAACTAAAAATAAACAAAACAAAAATTGAATCACATGACAGGAAAAGTACCTCTACTAAGAAGATGCAACAATTTAGAAGCCATTAAACCAGTTTCGTCTTCTCCTGAAAGGAAAACAACAAAATTCAACCAATATGAATACTACACTCCAAATTCTCAAGCAATAAGAACAAAACATATTACAGCATACTGCAAGCATAAATAAGATAAATTAAATTCACAAAACTAAAAAATTGTAATGTTTACCAATGATTTCGACATGAAGTGGCTGATCACATTCAAAATTATTGTCACCGGATGAATGAATCACGTTATCATGTATAGTAATAGGAATAGAATCTCCGAATTCAATCGATGAATTCATGACAGCTGAATCATCTAGAGAAAAATCCATTGAAGGCAAATCAAAATCGTAAGCGTAGTGAATAGAAACAAAAACGGAAGAAAGAAGCAGACGAATTGAAAGAAGTCGACTGCAACAGAAAACAGAAATACGAACATAACAACCTATTTTTTTTATGCAAAACGACACCGTTTTGGGATCAGCACACCATGCGCATGGTGGGCCGATCCCACGGTATAATTTGCGAATCAATGTGTAGCTCATGTTATTTCTTGCTCCTCTGCACAAATCTCTACCACACAGTTTTTACTTTATTATTCTACGTGCCGGTCAAACATGACAAACCTTTAAGGGATGGAGGGAGTATAAAATATACAAATATCATACATCTACAGGTTCATACCAGTTTAAATCAGACCGGATCATAGTTAATCGGGAAAAGGGTCAGATAGGGCCTCGAGCTTACAAAAAATGTCAAATGAAGCCTTATATAGGATGTTCTGTATGGCCGATGCCATTTGGGGCGCTTCCCGGTAGAATTTTTCAATGAAACTTTTTGAGCATCTTATTCATTAAGTCTAGTTTACTGATACCAATTTTCAGCTAAAACTTCAATCTGGAAGGCATTCAAATAAATTCTTGAAGATAAGTGCGCAGCTAAAAGCGCAGTTATCTTCAAGAATTTATTTGAATGCCTTCCCGATTGAAGTTTTAGCTTAAATTTAGTATGAGTAACCTAGACTTAATGAATAAGATGATCACAAAATTTCATCTTAAAATTTCACCGGGAACCGCCCTAAATGACGTCAGCCGAACAGAAACTCATACATAAAGGGTATGTTTGGCAAATGGCTTATCAGCCAGCTTTTAGCTTGTTTGACCCATTTCAACTGTTTGATAAGTCAAAGAAGCTAATAATAATGTTTGGTAAATGGCTTTTAAAATTAGCTTGTTGAGTTTGAAAAGCTGAAAAAATGGATTGTGGAAGAAGCTAAGGGGAGCAGCTTCTTCATTTGGCTGGTTCAATTTACACTCTATCAGTCATTTCGAAAGAGCCAATTTTACCAAACAGTTATTTATAATCAGCCAACATAACCAGTCGGTCAAAACAGCTAACACAACCAGCTGTTGCGAAACAGCTGACACAACCAGCTACCAGCAACAGCTAACAACCATTTACCAAACAAGGCCAAAGCCTTATTTGACATTTTTTGTAAGTTGGAGACTCTATCTGACCCCTCTCTCTAGTTAATTAGACCAAATCAGATGGGTGAAAACATAATCACAAATGTTAGATACATTTACAAAATTACCTTCACATGGGTCGTTTGTGTGTCCAAAATTAATCCAGGCTCATCAATCAAATCACCTAATATCGGAAGAAGTTCGGCTAGCAATCCCACGGCGAAACAGGACGGCATGGCTTCATCGGCGGCGTTAATAACTATGCACCCTCCTCCTCGTGTAATTTCTTTGAGCTCGAACGATCCTTCATGCGTGAAAAAAAAAACCATTCTTTTAGGTGCAATTACCTTTCGTTTGCTCTTCATGATGGGAGAGTTACGGAGAAGACAAATGAAGTTGGTTGCTGACTTGTTTTACCTAAAAAAAGGCAGAGAGATTAAAGAATTTATGATGTAATCATCAATACTACTGTTTATTGTCTAATTTAATAGTAGTATTTTTTGCGGATGATATTGTTTGAGACTTGGTCTCACTTGATTCAAGATCATTTACTGATAAATCTTACTCCTTAGAAAGAACACTGTTCCTAAAACGCGTTCTATAAATCTGCCAACAACTGGACAACTCAATGAGCCTTCTAAGTTTATGACACAGTTACATTTTAACTGAGCAGAAATTATGGGACTTATTGCTGTCAGCTTTGTATATCAGCAGATGTTGATTCATGGGCAGGTGGAATTGAAACGGTTACTAAAAGCAGCTGTGTGTTTTACACCATTTTTAACATCTCCAGAAATAGGCTGAATAAGACTTGGCTCAGGTACGTCAAGATTCATAATTTGGATGCTTATATTTGCAAGAAAATAGAAATAAAATATAACAATAAAAAAAACTTGTAGATTCATGCGTAGCCGTGTAGTTTGTTAAGATTCAGACAATTCAGTGGATTTTAAAAGTTACCAAGCTTCCTAATTATTTTGTCAAGGTTAATTAGAAGCTATAGTTATAGACACCCATGGGCAGGGATATTAGGAAATCTCACTTTAGAGTTTTCTAGAACTTCTTGTGTTGAATGTTTGCTTCCAAACATAGACCTTCACTTATTCTCTTAGCAGAGATGGCCAGGAAGAATATAAAACTATATTGTACATAAGCTGGACTGCTGGACAGCTTGGCCGTTGGTCCATAATAATTCACGCAGGGAATGGTCAAGGGAAGCTTTGCATTTTCTGTTTCCTTTCTGTTTTGCAATTGAGATACATGACTTTTGTAGTTTTGTTATTCTGCACCAATCCCACCACCTCTCTATGGCATACAGTAGTTATTTCGAACCAAATATGGAACATCAATTTTATTTTGGAATTGGTCAATCTTGAATAGTCAATTAATATCAATTATGATTGTGACACTTCATGCTTGGAAGTCAAGTTTTTTGGTAAAGCTTTTAGCGTATATACATATTTCCATGATTATATTTTAACATTGATAATGACATGTATAAAGATGACTATAAGAGATCACTTATAACACGTTTGTTTTTTTCTAAGGAAGTTGATTGATGCGACTGCCATTTTATATTATTCTAATATACTCTTATAAGGATAGACTGTTTTCATTTAAGTGATGATTGACAGTCATCTATCATTCTGAAAACTATTAGTCAAAATTTGCTTAAAAATAAATTAAATGTATTATAATTGTTATCAAGTTTTGGTATTTTAAACATCTGCTTTCCCATTAATTGATATGATATTTGATAGTAAATGAATGGTCGCCAGGTTCATCTTCATCCGATAGTAGTATGAGCACTCTTTTCATACCCTTTGTTCTGTTATACTCACTTTCCATATCAATGACTTGTGTAGGAGTTGATATGATCACTACAACTCAATATCTTAGATATGATGAGACCATCATTTCAAAGAATGGGACCTTTGTCATGGGATTTTTTACCCCAACCAATTCTTCAAACCATTATTATGTAGGAATATGGTACAATCAAATTCCTGTTCAGACAGTGGTTTGGGTTGCGAACAGAGACAACCCAATAGCCAACACATCTTCAGCAGTATTAAAGATCACCCAGGGTGGCCAGCTGGCACTTGTTGGAGGCAACGGCCAAGAAATTTGGTCTGGGAATACGTCGAGGATGGTACAAAACCCCATTGCGGAATTGCTGGATTCTGGGAATCTTGTGCTCCGAGAAGCAGAAGATGAAAACCCTGAGAATTTCCTCTGGCAAAGCTTTGATTATCCAACTGATCATTACTTGCCTGGGATGAAACTCGGCTGGAACCTAGTATCCGGGCATGAGGTGTATGTCACAGCAAGAGAGCACGAAGAAACGCCGGCTTCAGGTGAATACACGTTTCATGTGGACCTCACTGGATACCCACAAGCTATAATCAAAAACAGGGAATCTGAGGTTTATGGCTCAGGACCATGGAATGGTCTGCATTTTAGTGGAACACCATCTGCATCAATGAACACCAACCCTCGAGGACTAGTTATGAATAAAAAGGAGGTGTATGTATGGTATAGTCAAGATTTGGGTTTATTAAGATTTGTTCTCACCAGCAATGGTGTTCTAAAAGCCTGGGGATGGGATTTTCAGAAGAAAGAATGGCAGAGTTTCTTAAGTGTGCCGTCAGATAGTTGTGACACATACGGTTTATGTGGTGCAAATAGCATCTGCAACATCGGTAACTATCCTACATGTGGATGTCTTAATAAGTTTTTGCCTAATAATGATGCTGTTGAGAACGTGTCACGAGGGTGCTATAGGAAAACACCCCTGAATTGCCACAATGGATCTTCATCAGACGGTTTTCTCAAGTACTCAAATGTCAAATTACCAGATACGAAGCACTCTTGGTATAATAAAAGTTCTATAACCCTTCAAGAATGTAAAGAAACTTGTTTGAAGAATTGCTCTTGTATGGCGTACTCGACTCTCAATATAAGCAACGGAGGAAGTGGATGTATGTTCTGGCCTGGGGATTTGGTTGACATTAGATGGTTAGCTGGGAGCAAGCAAGACATATTCATCAGACTGGCTTCATTGGATGTTCCAGCAGGTAGGTAGAGCTCATAACCACTTTTTCACTAATGTCATGTTTGGTATGCGTAAAGGAAACATATAGGAGGAATGGAATTTGAATTCTATGTGCAAAGAATCAAAAGGGTTTTGACCTCCTCATTGGCAGGTCAATTACCTAGCTTTATTCTGCTATGTCGTATTGTGGTATGCTTTGGAATAACGAAAAATAGTGTAGAGTTTTAGGAAGAAATATAATATCGAGGGGTAATATTGTCCCATTGCATCCAACTTTCCTTCTGATCAATTTAGTGCGGAAAAGATAATATCAAGGGGGGCTTGGAATTGTTTTTTGGCCTGGGAGAGAATAAATATTCAGACAAAAAGTTTTTCTGCTGCACCAAACTTTGCCATTTTCTCGACTGGAATTAACGGGCAACTGAAAAGTTATCCCGTCGAATGAAGTAGGTGATCATATCATGGTTATAAGTTGAAATAGGACTAGATTCTTGATTTTCCTATTACTACAGGACGAACAACAATTTCAATGCATTCAGGCTCAAAGAGGAAGAAAGTAGAGATAATTGCACTTTGTTTATCATCATTGCTGGCTTTAGTGTTTCGGGCCTGCTGCTTCTCCTCGTGGTATTTTTGCAAAAGGAGAATTGCTAGAAGAAAGCTGGAGAAAGAATTCGAGCTGCCATTATTTGATGTTTCTTCGATAGCACGAGCTACAAATAACTTTTCATCTCAAAACAAGCTTGGGGAAGGGGGATTTGGAACTGTTTACAAGGTTTTTAGCCTCCTGCAACTTTCTCGCTATTGATATATGTGTGTTTTTGTGTATTTATAATTTTCATTAATTTATGGTATATTTGGGAATTTTGTTTTGGGGGGATTTGGAGAGGAAGGCATGGGAGAGGATTCTTCATTTTAAGAAAAAAATAATGCTTTAACATGATACTCCATCCATTTCCTTAAGAACATAATGCTTTCACGTGATACTTTATCTATTTCTTCCTTTTTTTGATTTTTTCCAAGTTAGGGTCTCCATTTCCTATTTTGGAAAGGGTCTACCTATTAAAATATAAACTTCTGTGTACTTTTTCAATCTATCTCTTCTCTATACCCCACTCACCACCACTAGTCTCTTGTAATGAAACGAAAACACTAATATGAAAGGTAAAAAGTAAATTGATAGGAACTCAACCAACACAGCAGGACAGTAGTAACATACTGATTAGGAAATCTGAAGGAGCACAGGTTTACACGCACAGCAATGGCGGAAATGAAAAACAATAGAACAAGTTGGGACTCTTCGAGAGGTCCCGCTCTCCCAGCCCAATTCTAACAGAATTCCAGCCTAACCTCCTTCCCTCATTCCCTATTCTTGTAGCAATTCTATTTTTAAGGGCCTGGCGCCTGCCCATAATTTCTTACTTACATGGACCAGAACCCTCATTTATACAATACCGCAATTATTTAATATCATTCTATTACAATATTATTACTCTCTCCAGCGCAGGACCCTATCATATCTCCCCGCTTAGACAACCACCTTGTCCACAAGGTGGGTGATAGGAAACAGCCTTGACCTTCAACTTCATCTTCATACTGGCACCTCTTCCTTCCCAGTACATCACTGATTTCTGGACCTTTAGCTTCAGTACTTGAGCCTTCATATCCATGACCGCCCGAAGCAGTGTCGGGTACTGTGATTTTGTTGAGGGCCTGATAATCCACACATACGCGATGAATTATGGTGTTTCTTCACCAACAGATCTAGACTTGCAAATGGGCGCGAGCTAAGATGAATGAACCCTTTGTCTAGAAAGTCCTCTACCTGTCTCTCAGTTTCATGGAAATGATCTCTGAAAGGAGGCAGAGCTACTGGTTCTATAGCCTCAATTTCCATGGACACACTTTCCACATTAAATGCGTCAGGACCAGGTGCACTAGATGCAGACTCCAATGTGGTCATAAGATTAAAATTTACAGGTTGACAGTTGACACTCTCTCTTTGGTATTCTCTGTATCTTATATTTCCTCCCATTCACACGGAAAATGAGGAACATCTCATTCCAATTAGATTGGATGGTATTGAGTGATGCAAGCCACTTAATTCCCAGTACCATATCAGAGACCACAAGGGAAATGGAAAAAAATCATGGGTGATGTTCAAACCTGGAAGTTGTGCTGAAATCTCCTTACACACACAGTTGCAACGCGCAATATGAGTGTCACCAAGCTGAACCCCAATTGTCTGAGTAGAGGAGATTGCCAAGTCAAGTTCTCTTACCTGTGAATCTGATATGAAGTTGTGAGTTTAACCACTATCGACTAACAACAATACTTCTTTGTTAGCCAATAAGCCATGCAGTTTCATTGTTGTTACTGTTGCACTACCCAGGATGGCGTCAAAAGAAATCTCGGTATCTACTGTTGGTTCTTGTTTTGTGTCTTCGGCTAATTCCAAAGAGCTTCGTCCATCATTGTTCTCATCTCCTTCAAATGGCGTAAAATTTTGTCCATACTCTTCTCCATTTGCGGTGACATACAAAATTCCTCCATCCTTCCAGCTCGTTGATGCTTATGATCGATTCAGACTCTAGGAGCGAGTGCTCTGATACCAATGATAGGAACTCAACCAACGTAGCAGGAAACTAGTAATATATTGATTAGGAAATCTGAAGGAGCACACATTTACATGCACAACAATAGCGGAAATGAAAAGAAAGAGAACAGGTTGGGGCTTTTCGAGAGGTCCCGCTCTCCCAGCCCAATTCTAACAGAATTCCAGCCTAACCTCCTTCCCTCATTCCCTATTCTTATAGTAATTCTATTTTTAAGGACCGGCCCATAATTTCTGACTTACATGGCCCAGAACCCTCATTTTTACAATACCACAATTATTTAATATCATTCTGTTACTAATATTATTATTCTCTCCAGCCCAGGGCCCTATCATAAATTTTAGAAATAAAAGGTGAAAGAGAAATACATTAGTATGACCACAACGTCCTAGTCATTTATTATCATAAACCACAAATAATTTTATTAATTTAATAATTTAAAATAACATATCCCTTCCCTTTCAATACCCTCCAATACTGCTCCTAAACATACCCTCAATTTCTTGAGTTCTAAAAATTCCCAGGGTGCTTTGGATGGAGGACAAGATATCGCAGTGAAGAGGCTATCAAAGACTTCCCAACAAGGACTCGAAGAATTCAAGAATGAAGTGATATGTGTTGCAAAATTACAGCACCGGAATCTTGTCAAGCTTCAGGGGTGCTGCATTAGTGGGGAAGAGAAAATGATGATATATGAATACATGCCTAACAAAAGTTTGGACATCTTCATTTTTGGTTTGGCCATCGAGCTCCTCTTATGTGTAACTAAAAAATTTAAAGATCAAATGCTTATCATCATAATAAGGAGTAGCTTTTGACTTGATTTGGCTGAAATGGATGTTACCAAATGCCTTCGATTCATAAAAGAGAAAATTACAAGGAGTATGAAGAGTTGGTGATTCCTAAAATATGACTAAACAGTTTTTTATTCCTAAATTAATGGTGTTTTGCATGCATGTTATGTGTCTTGATGCTATTTTTTCATATATAGTCATGCTTATGTTTGTTAGTCATATATTAGGGATCTATAAATGTTTTAGTCATATATAGATAAATTTCCCTTCAGAAAATTCAGTGAGTTAGGTCATTACATTTCGGCCAAATAACCTTTTCACGAACGAGGCTCCAATTTTTTAATATTTAATAGCACTGGTGTGGCAGATCAAAAGAAAAAAAAAATGCTGAGTTGGAATAAACGCATCAACATAATCGTTGGAATTGCTAGAGGATTGTTATATCTCCATCGAGATTCTCGACAGAGAATTATCCATAGAGATCTCAAAGCTAGCAACGTTTTGCTTGATCTTGAGCTAAACCCAAAGATTTCAGACTTTGGATTAGCTAAGATTGTGGGAGTTAATGAGACAGCAGATAGAACAAAACGAATTTCCGGAACTCGGTAATATCATATCTCAATTATTTTCCATTTCCTACCCATCAAATATTTATATCTCTTTCAGGTTTTCTAACAGTTTTTCCATCATTTGCAATGGAGCCAAAGATTCATTATTTTTTGGCTTGAGATGATGATGGAATAAAGCAAAATGGCTCACTAAACTGTATGTGCTTCTTTGTTATGAAGCAGCAGTCAGTCCATGCAATTTTGGACGGGATTTTCACTATGGGTCATCCGGAAACAGTCTCTCTGTGCTTTAATACAGGGGTAAGACTGCGTACATCCGACCCCCCCTTACCCCACCGTAGGTGGGAGCCTTTGCGGCACTGGGGTAAATGAAAATGAAATGAAATGAAATGAGGTTTTCTCACAGTAATATATACTTTCTTTGCAGTGGGTATATATCTCCAGAATATGCTGCTCATGGAATCTTCTCTTTGAAGTCAGATGTATTTAGCTTTGGCGTTTTAGTATTGGAGATAGTTAGTGGTAGGAAAAATAATTATGTCTTTGATGCTGATCAGGATGAAACCTTGCTTGGGCATGTAAGACTCGTTTTTTTTTCATTAAGTTGAGTGATGCTTATGCACACATAACATAGAGAAAAGATACACGGAGTAACTTATAGTAACCATCTCAATGCCTCATTTAATTAATAATGTTCCCTGTTGCAGGCATGGAAGCTTAATATGGAGGGAAGGGCAATTGAGCTGGTGGATGAGAGTATAGCAGAATCATGCGATGTGGCTCAAGTTATAAGGTCAATCCATGTCGGCTTGTTATGCGTTCAACAAAGACCAGATGATAGGCCAAACATGTCTGGTGCAGTTAAGATGCTGGTAAATGATGCCCCTGTGGTGGCCTTGCCTCAACCTAAAGAGCCAGCTTTCTTTACTGGCAGTGTGCAAGCGGCAGCAGTTAAAGCCGAACTTTCTCCAGCCAATCATTCTACTGTGTCTTTGAATGAAGTCACTATCACTTCACTAACACCTCGTTGAAGGCATGAATATTTGGTTATCTTCATCACTTGTGTCCTTTTGCAGTATACTGCGTATTAATGTATTCATAAGTCATAACGTACACATTAGTAACTTTGATATGATGTCCCTTTGTAGTACTCTGTATTACCGTATATTGTTTTCAGATGAGAAATATTATCGATTAATCACTAAAGATAGAGATGTAAACATTCTTATGTTTTGGATACGTTGTGTTTAGGGGTATACACATTTTCTGTTTTTGTTACTTCATTGACTGGTAAGACTACTTGTAGTGCAAAGATTTTAGGAATCCAAAAATTTAACAGTGGAACTTTTGGACTCCTAATCCCTAAGTACTCATATTGTGGGAGCAACAAGAGTATTAAAAGTGGAAAAGGGGCACAAGGTTTTAAAAATAGAGGAGTATTGACAGGGAGAAAGAACAGAAAAGAAAAGCAACTTGGTGGAGCGGATGATGTCACGTTGACGTCATCTCTGCATAAAAATGGTGTACCGCAACGAGACATGGGAAAAGATAACCTTAAGATACATTTGTACAATGATACAAGTACAACTTTGATAACCTTTTATATAAATTCAGGATATATATTAGGGAAAAGTACGGAAAAGATACTTGTGCTTGGATTCGTTTTCAGATAGGGTCATGTGTTTCATTTTTTATCAAAGTGGTTCATATGTTTGAATTCCGTTATCACAAGATGGTCACACCGTTAAAAACGTATGAGAAAAACGGTTAATATTAACTCCGATTTTCAAAAGTGCTCGAGAAATTAAAAGAAATAGTGAAAGATGTGCCTCGTCAAGATGACCTCCAAATCACCTTCGTCTTTGGATTTTGCGGATCTGTTTGGATTATTTTTTAAAAATGATTTCGCAAAATCAGGAAATCCCCAAAGGGGACAAAGCCATTCCTCCCCAAATTTGGCGACTTGACTCAAGCCCAGGATCCAAAGGACCGGGCTAAAGGGCGAGTACGACGAACGGATGACGAAGCAAAGAATCAGGAAATCCCCAAAGGGGACAAAGCCGTTCCTCCCCAAATTCGGCGACTTAGCTCAAGCTCAGGATCCAAAGGATCGGGCTAGAGGGCGGGTACGACGGAGGGATGACGGAACAAGAATAACAACATCAAGGAATGAAAGACAACCATAGCAAACAAAGTGCTGCATTTTATTCATCGGCTCTACCGGGCGGGGGTACATATCATACACGTGTTCAGAGTGAAATCAGAATTACAACATAGTGAAAGTTGTCATGTTCTATTGCCCAAGTCAGGGAGCACGCCTTGATCTCTACAAGTCTCACCAGGATCCGGTCAGAGGGATTGTTCATGGCGGATGATTAGGGAGCAGTTAATCAAGTTCAGGAGGTCAACAGGGTTGCAGAACTTAACAAACTCCCTCCCCTATGAAGAAGGGCCGCCCTTCCCCTCCTGCCCATGCGCATTCTTTTGGAGAAGCTTCAAAACGCCCTCATGAACTTTGACGAATGAAGCATTAAGCCCATCACCTTCAGGGTCAAAGGGAGCAGGGAAGTAACGCTCAAGAACCGGGAGGTTGCCGGCCATAAGGCCGACCATCCCCTTGGCATATGAGTCATCAGCAACTCTTCGAGGAACTCCCAGTCTGTAGGGGTCTTCCGGAGTAACTTAATGTCGTCATGCAACATAGCGGGGCTCTTGGCCAGATACTCCCCGAGATTGGAAGCGAGGTGCCTCTTCGCACGGATGTCCACAACATCAACATAGGCCTTGGACTTTTGGAACTCGATGGATCCAACATTCTTGATCTTGGAAACATCGGCCTCAAAGATAGGAACGGCCCCCTCCACGCCAACTTGGCGAAGCTGCACGTCGGTTTTCTCCACGGCGACCAGTTTGGCACGGAACAGCTGTAACTCCTCGGCTTGCTTCCGGACCATCTCTTGGGAAGAGACACTCTCCTGGGCAAGGGCGAGATTCAACTCTTGCTGCATCTTGCTCAGATGCTCCTTAGATGTCTTCACAAGGACCTCGGCTTCACAACGCAGCTTGGCAGAGGCACAATCCTGCGCCTCGTGAGCAAACCACGCCTTGCTAAAGTAAATAGCAGCCTTGTTGAGAGAGCTAAGGCCACATTCATGAAGATCCATCGGGCTCTCATAGGCGGCAAAATCCTGGGGAACCCTCAACCCCAAGGAACACAAAATGGAGGAGGGCGTCTGACAAAACAACTTCTTTGACTCCGCACGGGGACTAAGCCGGAGAATTCGATGATGCCAAAGGAGGAATCCTCAGACCCGGGCGGTGGGGAGCACCCATCGTTTTACCCACCAAAGAAGAGGACTGCTTCTCGGTGGGGGAGGCAGCTTCATCATCCGACCCATCCAGGACCACCACAACTTTAATTTGGAAGACCCCTCCGCATGGCGGGGCTTCTTGGGAAGCCGTTCGTCCCCAATATGGCCCTCGACCTTGGGCCTCTTCAGACACGAGTCGTCGCCCACAATTTGTTTCCCCTTACCAACATTGGCCCGGTCTAAGGTAGAAGGACGGTCACCACGAGAAAACCATGATGGGGAACTTGGGGAAAAGCCATGCACAAAGAAAACACAATGGTCAGAGCGGTCATTAAAATCACGATACGAAGGTCCAAACACGGGTTGTGATGGGGACGTACCTATACCAGCCTTGTTCATATTGGTGTCATTCACCAGCAAACGCAGGTTTTGGACCCCCGAACTAGCAATACGTGCGGCTTGCTCCAGCTCGACCGAGCTCAGAGTCGAAGGCTCAAACTTGACCGGGAAGGAATTCCACAGGTCAGAGAATGGTAGAGGGGACCCAACCTTGACAAAAAAGAATCTCTCTTCCCAGCTGTTCAGATTGGACGGGTTGTTGGAAAAAGGACTCTCCATGTACGGGCCACAATGTTAAGGTAACCCGTTTGCCCAATGAGGGAGAGCCGGAAAAAATGCAGAAACAGATTCACATAAGGGGCGACCCCCGCATCATGGCAGCGAATGATGAAGCCAGCGATAATCCGATGGGAGTTGTGGAAGAGCTGTGTTGAGGCTATGCCAAGGCCCCTAAACAAAGAAAGATGGAAAGGTAGCAAGCGAAAAAGGAGCCCGACAAGCACGGAGTCCAGGTGGACAACCACATGACCGGGCAAATGCCGCATGGGATGACGGATGGTTCGAGCGTTCCAGCCTCGTGGGGAAGGGAACAGTTGGGGGATCAGTCCCCACTCACGAGAAAGCAGACGTTGGCGTTGATGCCGAACATTGTTTAAATTAAGAGAATAACGGGGAAACCGAGGCGGCATCCCACACTTATAGACCGTTAGGTCATCACCAAAGCAATAACTGTCATCAGACAACCCCTCAGAACGCCTACGGGAAGATGAGGCCATGGCAACGTGCGGAAGGAAAATAAGAACTTGTTGGGAAGAGCTAAGGGGTTTAGAAAGAGAAAGCAATATGACAGAATAACAGCTAAAAAAGGAAGTGCAATAATCTCGTCACGAAAAGGGGAGTACTTATAGGCTTCACCGCCGGTTCCCCCAAACCCGGGAGAAACACGTGGCAAATCATGTTTGGTAGATTCTGTGGTGGGCACAACGCTTCGATACTCGTGCCGGCTGAATACACGTGTCTGGATCATTACTCCAAGAAGACGTACGTCCCTTGATCGGGTCATGCCATACGGAACACCAAAAAAAAAGAATCAGAAAAACCCAAAGGGAATAATTCTGTTTCCCATCACAATCGCGGCTTAGCTCATCTCAGGATCCCAAGGACCAGGCTAAAGGGTGAATAGGACGAACGGATGATGAAACGAAGAGTTAGGAAATCCCCAAAAGGGATAAAGCCGTTCCTCACCAAATTCAGCGGACAAAGAATAAAAAATACACACACACACACACACACACACACACACACGGCAGACATTCAGAGATCAGACAAAACCCAGTGGGCAACAAGGAGCAAAAACGAAGTTTATTCTTCGTCACTACCGGCCGGAGGTGTACAGATAAAAAACGAAAGGAGGAAAGGAAGAGGGATCATTCCAAGAAAACATGGGCCAGGCAACGACGGGCGAAGGAATCCGGTTCCTCGTCTTCATCTTTGGAGACGACTTCGGAGGTAGGAGGTTCCGCGATCTCCCCTCTCTGCTTAGCCTCCGCACGCCTCTGGTCTCGGTCAACCTTGGTAGCACCCCTCTGGAGCTCCTGGTCCTCCGTGTGGTCGTCCACATTAAAAGGTGGGCAACCGGGCAGGGGAAGGATCTGCTTTAGGCCTTTCACACCCAAATAGTACCCCTTGGCAAAGGTGTCGTCCGCCAGATCAAGCATCCATACCTTACTGAGCGGTTTCCATGCCAACAATTGCACTCCATGGGCCAGGCGCTCCTTGGGCTTCTTGGCCTGCAACTCGTCCTCAAAAACATCCCCCCGACCCCCCGACAATAATCATGGGCAGCTTTCAGGAAGAGCGGGATCTTCTTGAACTCATCCACGTAAAGGGCCAGAGTAAGGACATCGCAGGGGGCGACCCCACCCTCGGAGAGTGGAACCGGGGCAGGAGCAGGAACAAAAGAAATGTCATGCTTCTGTACTGGGGCCACCTTGGCAAGGAGATCTTGTTTCTCCTTCTGGGGCAGGTCCAGGGAGGCCTGGAGCTCCTTCTCCGCCGCTGCAGCCGTTAGCTTCACTCGGGCGGCCTCCCATTCTGCCTTCAAAGCTGTGTCAGCTCTCTTTTTGGTCTCGGTGACATCCCGTTCCCGAGCGGCCTCAGCCTGCATAAGGCTCAACCCAGCCTAAAAAGGAAAAAGTATGAGGGGACGGACGTCAAAATAAATCAACGAGAAAAATGCTGGCAGAGAAGGGGGCCCTACCTCGAAATTCAAGGCCAAAGCATGGCTGACAGCCTCCTCATCCAACGAACGGGGAGGTAGCTCCACTCGTGACCGGAGAGCCATATCTCTCCACACATCAGGGACCGAACGGCCCAACGGAGGCAATACGACATTGGACGCCTGGGGGCCAGAAGAATCAGTACGTAGCCTCTTCGGCCTCTTCCCCTTGACCTTCTCACCATCTCCGGGAGGAGCGATATTCACTGGATCAGCATCTAGCACAGGGCCAGCCTCGGAGTTATGGGCGTCTGCACCTTACCCAGTCACAACCGCAATAAGCTGTTGTTCGGCTTCCCCAACACGCCGGTCGGCCTGGGACGCATCAGAAGAATTGACCTCGGAGGCTTGGGCAGCATGCTCATGGCCTTCACGAGCGCAGCACGCTGCTTCGAAGCCTTGGCTTCACGACGAGCCATCAACTCGGCATCCTCCATCTGCTCTTGGGTAGGAGGGGGACCTGAAACAAGAAATGAGAACTATTAGAACCGGGCGGTGCAAATCTCAAAGGCACTCACCTCAGGGACTGGACCGCCTGAGCCCACAAGATAACCACGAGCGGATGTTAATCTAGGGATCACGGGCGGTACCTATCCCTTCATAAGAGAGTGCCTGGATTGTCAAAAGACCCTTCAAGTCTTGAACATCGTCCAGCTTCAACTTATCAACGACATCCTCCAGTTCGACGGTCAGCACCGGCTGCTTGATCTTCGGGGGAAACCCGTTCCACCTCACAGGAAGCCGTGCGTCCGAATAACGTAAGAAGAAGAAACGGTTCTTCCAATCGTGGATAGAGGTTGGGTCACCCTTAAACAGCTTTTGGCGAGGACAAGCGGCCACACTCAGGAATCCATCTGCATTTTGGGGAGCAACCTGGAAAAAGTAGTGGAAAAGATCGAGGCTCAAAGTGAACCCCTGGGTCCGGCAGCGAACGATAAACGCGGAGATAAGTCGGTATGAATTTGGCATGAATTGTACCAGGACAACGTCATAGCAGAAGACGAAATCAAGATAGAACAGATGAAGAGGGAAGCGCAGTCCGACCTTCAGGGAATCCATGTGTACCATGATCATCCTCAGGCGTCTCCTGAAAAGCTTATCAGCGCCACGAAGGCTGTAGATGAATGGTGGGGGGAGGAGGGTCCGCAATTCCTTTAAGGCCCTACCCGAGAAGGCTTGATCTATCACGACAACATTGTGGATAAGCACGATATGCCGGGGGATGTCCACGGGGACGCCTAGATGTAACACCTGCAGATCGTCCCCGTCAACAGCCTCATCCCCGGAGTCATAGTTAGCAGGGCGCTCTGCCCCCACATCTGGCTGAGCCGCCGCCATTGGAACATCTTCAGGGGCAGCATCAGTGCCAGCTTCCCCTCCCGCTCCTCCAGGGACAGCCATGTCCCGCTACTACATATCCCACCACCGCGGAGGTGCCGGAGTGACCGGAAGTACCCGTATCCCCCGAGGAATGGGACCTGGAATCCGAGGCAGAAGAGGAACCAGTAGAAGAGCCAGAGCTGGAATCCGATTCGGAAGATATCTCCATAGAGCAGGTCATGGGGAGGGATTACAAGAAAATAGAAGAAGGGATTAAAACCGAAGTTACCTTACAATTTGGAAACGAGGATGGGCTAGGGAACCGGAGAGAACTTGCAGAAGAACGCTAGAGCACTCAAGGAGAAAGCAAAGAACTGAAAACCCTAATCTCTTAACGAGTCCCGGTATTTATAGGAGGATACGCCTCCCCACTGTCCAATCCACTGATGACACGTGGCGAGGAGCGTACCCATGGACACGTGCCACATGGAAACAGACAGGCGCAAAATGATTACACTTTCATCGGAAGTTGAACCGGCCTGCATAACCATTACCTAGAGCCCCGTGAACAGCAGCCGGAAAAGCAACCATCACATCAGGGTTGTCGGTTAGGGCGGTACGTCGGGGGCATTCCTACTTCCTTATGTCCCGAGCACGCTCGTAACATCAGAAGTGGGGGACTTGTGTTGGGTTAATGGCCCAACGAGGGCTGACCCATCAACCCATAAGGGCCTCCTACGAACGGCCCATCAACCCATAAGGGCTTTCCGATGAACGTCCTCAGAGGGCCCACGAGGATTCCCTACGCACGTCCTGTTGAAAGCCCAAGACGAGGGGATGCATGTCTGCTGATTCGGGAGGAGGTTCACCCCAAACGGGAGGTAAGTCTCAAGGGACGTACGTACCCCATGATCAGCAAGTATCCAGGCCCAAGACTCCCGCAGGGTACATGGAGACGAACATCCCCACCCCTTGACAGGAGGCCAAGAGTAGCTCGAGGAATAGATCAACGATAACTCAAGTGCTTGGAGACGAACGTCTCCGCCCCTTGGCAGGGGATCAGGACTCCAACAGAAGACAGGAGCCAGAGCCTTGGGGACGAACGTCCCCACCCCGTGGCGGGAAACCAAGATCGTGGTGGGAAACGCATTTAATGCAGAAGATTTGGTGGTTGGGATCATGCCGTCCACAGCCAGCCACGTCAACACATCCAGCCACCCATTGGCAGTATAAATAGTAGCATTTATTTCACTGTAAAGGGTTCGCATTTTAGTACTCTAGCATTCTAGCAATTATATCAGTACGTAGCATAGCACTGTACGAACGACCTTTCGGCGTGTAATCGAATCAGTGTATTGAAACTCATTATTGGGCCTTTCCTTGCTTATTCTTCATCTAACTCACTAAACCATCCACTCGAGACCCCTGAGTTACGTGTTGGGCTCACGGGTTGAAGGAATAAACCTCAACATTACTTTTCCGGTGGACTTTTCGGTGACAAGGGTGGCTGGAAACAAAAAAGAAAGATGGCCTAGAGATCGTCTTGTTGAGGAGCACCTTCCGGTATTTTTCTTTTAATTTTTTGGACACTTGAAAATCGGAGTTACTATTAACCATTTTTCTCAGACATTTTTAACGGCATGACTCTCTGGTGATAAGAAAATCTCAGTTTCAATGAGAAACCACAAGCGGCAAGCCGTTGGGCCGCCGTTGCCTAGTGTTTCCTGACGACGGTGGCGGGATGGCGTGGTTGAGTCGCAGGGGCTGGAAGGTCGGGAATGGGGATGGGAAGGTCAGAGAGGGGGTTGGGGTGGTGCAGTGACGGTGGGGAAGTGACGGTGGTGTGGTGTGGGGTAGTGGCGGTGGTGCGGGGCTGGGGAGTGGGGGACAGTGATGATGGTGTGGTTCTAGTTCATTCTCTCTCCATTGCACAAACCTCAACCACACAGTTTTTACTTTATTATTCCTAGTGCCGGTCAAACTTGGCAAAATCGTTAGGAACGGAGGGAGTATAACAAATGTGACAGTTAGGTACATACATTCATACACACATATGTGTGTGTGAGCGCGCCGACACACATATTACATATATATTACGTTACTCCCTCCGTCCCATTTTACCACCCTTGCTTTCTATTTTGGCTTGTCACAAAATAAGTGTCACATTTCATTTTTTGAAATATATATATGGTCTACAATATTTAATTTTATTATATACAAATCTCAACTACAATTTTTACTTTTTCAATCACATTTTAAATTATGTCAAACCTAATTTTGTAAACTCTTTTTGTGCCATTGTAACCTAATCTTATCCTTCAATAAATCAAATTTCACACCAAATCATTCATATTAACTCAGTCAATTTACTTGATTAAATCAATTTCAGTGCTAACAAATGAGCTCAATATATTTTAATCGCAATGTTTTCATTTAAGCACTTAGATTTATTTAAAAAAACTGAACCAGAAAATCTTTAAAAGTTGAAATTTAATTTTTTTTAACTTTATATATGCATTATGTGGGTCATATGAAAGATCATAAAAAATTATAAAATTTGATATAATTTTTGTAAATTTTGAGGAAAAAAAAATTATAACATTTATTAAAAAATTGTGAATTTCATTTGGCTGGACCCCACATATATTCTTTTCTCTACCGCCTAGCATGTTAGTTCATGCCTTTTGAACTGTTCAATGTTCATTAAAATTTAAAAAGGACAATCGGACAACCACGGAAGGGTGCAAACGGTGCCTGCTAGGGATCCGATCCATTTTATTATCCATTTATTTAGGCGAGAACACTGTTCATTTTTCCCACTCCCTTTTGTATATAATAAGATGATAAGGTACAAATTTTTTAAATTTAGCCTTCCATGAAATGATGGGGCATTCTTGTTTTTGAATTAATTGGAGCTACTTCTGCCACCTTCATCGTACGCTCTTGCCGTGGAAAGATTCAATTTAATTACAGTTTTTTTCATTAATTGCGGTTACTTAAAGTATGTTTAGAATTTGTTCAAAATTGGATTAAAACATAGGTGAAGTTCTAAAATAGGATCAAATAAATACTGAGAACAAAATTATTTAACTCCTATTTGAGAAAATTTGCAATCTTTTAATCTTTTTTACCTATTTAGGGAATTATCTCAATTAAGTTTCAAAGTTTATACTTCATACTTTATAGAAAGCTTGTTTAGCTCTGATAAAGTTATTGGCTTTCTATCTGCTTCCATGAAGTTTCCACAATTATTGAGCCCCAACCCTTGTAAAATGCTTAGTTTTTTTAGTACTCCCTCCGTCCCGGAATTATCTTCATTCTTTTCTTTTCGGTCCGTCCCAAATTTATCCCCTCTTTCCCTTTTTGGTAAAGAATATGTGGTTCACAACCATTCTTACACATTTCTCTCTCCTCTGCATAACTCTCCACCACACAAATCCCACTATCTTAAAACTCGTGCCCGGTCAAAACAGGAGTTAAATATGGGACGGAGGGAGTATTGAAGCTTTCTCTTGACTTACGGTTTGTGAAATACTACATCAGGTTATTCAATTCCAGGGGACTGTGCATTTGGTGTATTCTAAAGTAACTATACATATCATTTCTTCTTTATTTGAGTTGTGCTTGACCAAACAGTCCATCACTCCATATTATGTCCTTTTGGCATTTTACTATTCTAGGATATACTACTTCGGTCCCATTAGATATTGAGTGTAAGAAAACAGAAAATAAAATTTTGTGGTAGAAGTTTCTCAAGTTTCAAAGTTTTTGGGACAATTAAAAGGAAAGTTTTACATAGTCTGGTGGGATGAAGAGAGTATTTTTTTCATTAAAGAAAAAAGTTCAACCTACCGCCTTACCTCTGATTTATGGTTGCCATTGGCCGGGTGGCAAAAGTTGAGCAGGTCAGAGTCAGCATGGAAAGGTATAGCTGGTCGTTCTTTTGGGACAATATATAATGAGGAATTCTGGAAGAGGAAGGAGGAAGAATATAAGAGATCAGAAAGAAATATTCTGTCACCCATATCTAATGAGAAATTATGGAAGAAGAAGGAGGAAGAACTCAAAGAGAGTGGTAAGAAATACTCAGTCACCCATTAAGCTTCCTTGTTTAGGTTGATTATACCATAGATAGTTTTCCTTTTTGGATTTAACAACTATTAGATCATTTTCACACGATTAAGTCCTTCTTGACACTTTTGTTACTTCAAATTCTTATCCTACCAAATTCGCATAATCTGAAGTTGTAATTTCATCTGATAAGCGAAAAGTGAAAGAACGAAAGCCATGCACTAATAGTGGGAATGATGTAATAGTTCTGAGACAAAAAATGGAGTTCTTTTTTAATACCGTGTAAACATTCTACAACAAAAAATGTATATCTCTAGACATATATTTGCCCTCCTTTATGATTGGTTACATAGAAACGGAAACTAAGTGAGCTCAGAGAGGGAAAACACACACACAAACAAGAAGAATTCTAAAGGTACACACTTTTTTGTGTACACACTTTTTATACATGTCTGTGTAAGGTTTTTTTATGTCTGTACAGACATAACGTATTTTATGGTTGAGGCTAAGGGGAGAATTCACTATAACCTCCTCTTGGCTAGGTTCTTTGCATTTGTTTTGATGTACTGTTATGATCTATGTGCGTGCAGCACTGATTTCTTTTTCTGATTTTTGGGCATTTAGTATTGTATACTTAGGCCCTTTTTGAGTGTTGACCTTAGATTAGATCGAATAAAAACATCTCCTAACCCCTACACTAGGTAGGGGTGGGGGAGGTTTTAGGAGATCTAGAACTTTTTTGATGTATATTTTTCTGGGTGTTAATATATATTTACATTTCATCCAAAAAAAAATCACCATAAAAATGCATCTTTGAGTGGCACATTCTTTTTCATGGCCTTAGGACAAAGTTAAAGAAGTTGCTTCCCGACCAGAATCAAGATAACAAAGGTGTGGGGCACACAGAACCATTTACAGATGAAGAGAAAAAGGTATTATGCTTCTTAAATATATTATCACATCGGCCATGGGAAGTTTTTGCATGCATGACCTGTCACTAAAAGCATTTTATTTTCTAACCTATTGTCTAGGTAAGTTTGAGATCGCTATTTGAGCAGTCATATGTTAGCAAAAAACCATATACGGATAAAGACACAAAGGTATTTTGCTTCCTGAATATGTTATCATATCAGCCATTGGAAATTTTTTCATTCACGACCTTCACTAAAAGCATTTGATTTTGTAACCTATTGTCTTGTTAAGGTTGAGATTGCTACTCGAGGACTCATTTGTTTTTTTAATCATTTGTTGGTTTATTTTAAGTTTGTTATTTGATGATTTATATTGAGTCATTGACACTACCCCTAATTCCAATCACCACAAGAAATATATGTTTATGCAGCACATTCCTTTTCATGGCCTTGAGGCGAAGGTAAACAAGTTGCTCCCAACCAGAATCAAGATAACGAAGATGCGCGGCACACAGAACCATATACAGATGAAGAAGAAAATCTATTTTTTTCTGGAATATATTATCACATCAGCCATGGGAAATTTTTTCATGCACGACCTATCACTAAAAGCATTTGATTTTCTAACCTATTGTCTATGTTACTTTGAGATCGCTACTCGAGCACTCGCATGTTACCGCTGAACCATATACAGATGATGAATCAAAGGTATTTTGCTTCTTGAATATATGATAGACACGTGGTATATATGATAGACACGTGGTGCAGCAGCCTATTGAATACTTTAATAAAGTCTATCAAAGGAAGAATAAGAAGGCAGTAGTAGTTAACTAACTAGTGAGTTAGTTGTTGTTACCCCTACGTGGACACTTACTATAAATACTAGAATAACAGCTAGAAGGAGTAGCCTGTTATTTCTGTTGAAATTAGGTGCTGGAGATTGGGCATCTCGAATGTGTTAGGGTTAGATCTCACACACGCACGAATCTGAAAAACTAGAAAAGAACGAGAAGAACGGCACACGAATATAACGTGGTTCAACCAGTAAGTGTTACTGACCTAATCCATGGGGGCAACTAGAGTTTTCTTTCTTATTGAGATGATGAATGATACAAGTCCTAGTTTACAAGTACTTAATATATATATAGGCAAATAATTAGGGTAAAACACTTAATAAGTTTCTGGGCCTGACTGCCACCAAAGAAACAGGCCCAACTAGGGCTGCCTGCACATTTAACTAGAGCAGGCTGCTGCTCTTTGTTTATTTGGTTCCCAGATCTGAATGGGCTGAAGCCTACATCCCAACAATCTCCCACTTGGAGGCTTCGAAACACGATCAACTGCACTCCACTCCTCTGTACTTCTGTAAACTTCATATGTGGTTAGCTCCTCCTAGTTGTCACCTACCTTCTCAACATTATTCTTGAAGGCCAGCTGAAGTTACACAGAACTTCAGCTTGTCCAGCGTCACATATCTGATGGATTCTTTGCACCTGAGATGTCTTCAAGTTCTTTATTCCTCCACTTATCAACCCTCTGACAAAATGATATCTCATCCCGATGTACTTTGTTTTCCCATGATAGACTGGATTCTTGGCAAGTTTCACTGCACTCTCATTATCACAGTGTAACGAGCAATCTGCTTGCTTTTTGTCTAACTCGTCAAGGAAGTTCCTCAATCAAACCAGCTCTTTACTGGCTTCAGCAACGGCCATGTACTCTGTTTCGGTTGCTAAAAGAGCTACACTTTTCTGAAGTTTGGACATCCAACTAACTGCAGTTCCTCCCACTGTGAAAACTAGATTCTCTCTCGTGCGATGCACGGGACAAAATTAAGAAATTTAATTGTATTATTTGTTAATAATATTAATTAATGAAAGTTTTTATGTAAGTAGAATGAGTAATGAATTACAGAGTAAAAGAGAATGAGAAGTAATATACAATAAAAAATTATAATTAATAGACTTTCAAAGTTGTTGCAAATGATCTTGCAGAAAATTTTAGAACACTTCTTTGCAAATAAGATTAATGATGTGGTACTTTTATTTGTTATTTTCACTACAAATCGACTTTTATATAAATGATTTGTTATATAATCATCTCAATTTATTTAATTTTTGTATAATAAGCAATAAACACACCTTCACCTCATGTTTTTTGTGACGTAATACATATTCTTTTTCTTTCAATAAGTCATTATATGTGGGATGATGGTTATGATGAACACCCCAAATTGCAAATATATTGTTCACATTTAATGTCCTCTATTGAAGAAGAATTAAATGACGAATATTAGAGCACATTTGTTATATCACATTTGCAGATGTTTTGAACTTTCAATAATCATCTACATGTAGAAGTTCTATCTTATTTGTTATAAGTTTATGAGAATATTAGAGCACATTTGGTAGCCCTATTTTTAACTTTATCAAATTTATTAGTTAATTTTTTTGACCGAACACGGAATTTTTGATTTTACGTGTTGGAATTGCGTAATAATCAATATAAGTAAGGTTAGATTTATTTTTTGCTGAATTGGATTAAATTATTGTAAAAGATCATTTTAGCTATTTTTTCAAATAATTTTTCTTTATTTTATAAATGAAATGTGTTTTAAGTATAACTTTTTCATAATTTAGCAAACTCAATCAATCCAGCCAGAACTTCAAGATTTGAGTAAAATCACCCGATTTAGCCAATTTTAGTATTACGAAACAGGCTTTTAATAAACTATAAAAAATATCAATATGAATTTCACACAATAATAACAAAAAAAAATCCATTAAAAGTTGAAACATTTATAGCCATTTTGATATAGACATGCTAATTAAGTGACATGTTTTGAATCTGGGTAGTTTATTACGTATTACTACCTCCATCCCTAAATTTACTTCTGTAGTACAAATGACACACGGATTAAGAAAGTGAGTTTTGTGTGGTGGAGAGTTGTGCAGAGGTGAGAGAAATGTGTAAGAATTGCCGTGGATCAGAAATTCTTTGCCAAAAAGGGAAAGTGAGGTTCATTTGAGACAGACGAAAAAAGAAAGTTGGAAATATTTTCAGCGGCGGAGAGAGTAATTGATTTATGAAGTGGTATTCATCTCAATTTTCGCACTAAAAAATGTCACATAATGGTAAAAGAATTGGTGCAAACCGAATTACTAATGCATCGGGATTGGAAGTCAACATATTCACTCGGATAACGTGAATATTCACACGGTTGTCAAATTATATGGTACACTCGGATGTACATGTACACCCGGTATTTTTGTAATACGTATCAACTTTAAGTCCGATTCTCTCATCCATGCTCTATGCCCGTTGCTTTTATGTCTTCTCCTGCGGCAGTGGTGGTGCCACCATGATCACTTCCCGCTGCTTTTCTTTTTCTTCAACCGCCACTCTTTGTTCTATTTGGTCTTTCCTGATAGTTGGTTTTACATGTTGCATTGTCTTTTTTATTTTACTTTTTTATTAATTTTACTCTTTGTTAATTTACTTTCTTTTGTTTTGTCTTTTTTTCTTTTCTTCTTTTTGTTTCTTTTATTTCTTGTTTCCTTCTTTCTTTTTCTTGATACGAAGTATATTAATACCGAACATATTAAAAATGAGCTTTATTTTAAACTCAAATAAGTAAAGCCTATCTTTTGGATGGAAAATGTGCTGATTTTCCATTTAAATTTATATATATAGTAAGATAAGATAACACTTAACAAACACTACATAGTCATTAAGAAATCTAAATCATCCACCTCTCTTGCATTACATTGTGCAAATAAGAAAAAACAAACTAACGAATAATTTCATAAGTTCAAAAAATACTCCAGAAAGTTTTGAGCAATACACTTAAAAAATCTCATGCCAGTATATATAGAATATGCTAGAATCAATAGCAAATGATAACACCACATTAAAGGATCATCAACTATAGCTTACGCTATGCAAATGTGTTAATACTGGGGAGTTGGGAAGTTGTTTTAGAAAATTTGGCGGATTTCTCAGAGTATCGTGTGATCACTTTCCGAATCTAATATTTCGACCCTATACCTGGGTTACACGAAATTTAGATTATGGGGATAATCACTCTAAGAGACAGTCTAAAACTGAGGCACCAATATATAGACCACGAACTAGCAGTTTTAGTAGAACTCGAATTCTTCTGATTACCAAAGAGATAAGGCCAATCAGTTAGAGTTTACTCTAACAGAAAGTCATTCTATTAAATAATTAATATGGACATGTTTATCCGAAAATAAATTTCCATATTTATTTCTTTAATAAAATAAAATTTTGGTCCGGGGCACTGCCCTAAGCCCCGCGAGCGCGGCCTCCCTCGACCCCGCTCGGTGACCGGGCAGCGAGACCCCCACCAGGGGCGCTGCCCCTTGGACCCCGCAAGGGGGCGCAGCCCCCTTGACCCCCGCCATTTAATCGAACCAAGTTTAAATTTAATTTCGTACAAGTGTGCGCTCCGCACCTCCTAACTTGTCTAAAATTAAACTTGAACTCCATTGGTAATCTGTAAATTCCATTACACTAAAATGAACCTGGTGATACTAAAATCACCAACAATCCTCCCCCATTTTAGTGTAACCATGAATCTACATAAACAAGAATAAGAGACAACCAAACTTATGCATACATGAAAATATCGAAACGATTGAATTTTCATATTAGTACATTACACATTCCAAATACTCGAGAATCAGGGTGTTCTAAGAATTGAACCCTTCAACCCATTTGAATACATGAAGATAACATACACATAAGTTCAAATAAACAACTAGTTCAAAACTTTGACACTATTATTAAGCCGAGTGTCCCAATCCATTCATAATCGTATAAAAGTCAAGTCCCAACTTTTCGAAGTGCGGCTACACTTCACGATCATATAGGTAATTCCTTTAATCATGTACCTGCTTACATTTTAACAAAGGAATTTATTAAGAATATATATTCAACCCTTTTACTACAGGTCCGAACACACTAACCTGGGATGACAAAATGCATGTGTTCCATTCCTTAAGTATGAGCTTTCCTCATTGAATTCAACCTCTAATATAATATTATATTAGAGGGGAATTGGGTGTCTCATCATCATGGAATTAAATGGACTTTAAACTCATCCCAATCGCAGACTTGTGCACTAAGTCCCTGGCCAGACCTTTAGTTAAATGATCCGCCAAATTCTGTTGTGATTTCACATACTCAACAGAAATTACACCCTTCATGATTAAGTCCCTAATCATACTGTGTCTAACACCTAAGTGTCTAGACTTCCCCTTATACACTTGGCTATAGGCCTTAGCCAACGTGGCAGCACTATCACAACGAATAGAAATGGGTGCAATTGGCTTTGTCCATAATGGAATCTCAAAAACCAAATCCCTTAGCCATTCTGCCTCTTTACCGGCAGCAGCTAAAGCAACAAATTCAGACTCCATTGTTGAATTTGTAATGCAAGTTTGCTTCTTAGAGGCCCAAGAAATGGCACCTCCCCCAAGCAAGAATACTCAACCGCTTGTAGAAGAATGATCTTCTAGGTGATTTATCCAGCTTGCATCAGTATATCCTTCTAGAACCGAGGGATATCCAAGATAACATATTCCATAATCCATGGTTCCTTTTAAGTATTTGAATACTCTCTGAATTGCTTGCCAATGTTGAGTACTAGGATTGCTAGTATACCGACTCAACCTCCCAACCGCGTAGGCGATATCTGGACGAGTGC